TAAGATCCATAAATACACCAATGACATCATAACATTTCAGTAGCGCAAGATCTGTAGAATGAGACCGCCGAAATCCAAACGGATCAGGATTCAATGATTCCAATTTATCTAAAAAACTGTAGAGCCTGTTATAAACAATTAGTTCTAAAACTTTAGAAAAGCTAGGCAGTATTGAGATCGGCCTATAGTTAGAAACGACCATCACGTCATCTTTTTTAATGAGCTCATGTATTTGAACTTATGTTGGTAGCAAGGGTGGATCCAGCCTGCGGCGAGGGAAGGGGCCTAATTCGTGAGAAAATATTTAGCGGCGACTCATCCGACCGGCCAAAAGGGCGGGGGTATGCACTTTTAATTTTTTTCGTGAAAAAAAATCTTTAGCGGCGGCACAGCAAGCCGGCCGAATAAAAGTGGGGGGGGGGGGGGGGGGGGGGGGGGGGGGGGGGGTGGAGCTCTATTTTTTGTTACTCAACACCCCCCCCCCCCTTCTTCTTCTTTTTGGGTTGAGCAAAACAGAACAAATTATCTTTTTTGTTTTTGTGGGCAGAGGGGCCCGTCTATTTTTTCTTTAAGGTAAAATTAACGATAAAAACCGTGTCGATGTGCTATAGTGCCCTTTTGTGAGGCATTAATCCTCATTACTGTCAGTTATGACTTAAGGACGTAGGTCCCCTAGTTGATACGCATAGTAGCACACACATGCTTTAGCAGTCATGCAAAACAAACACTGGCAAATTATTATTCGACGAAATCTGAGAATGTATACTATTATCTAGATCTATCAGGAATAAATCATTGTCAAAATCATTCCTATTCAAGTATACAGAGGTTGAATGTCACTCCAGTTTAATAAAACATTCACTTTGAAAATAATGAAAGGCTATATGAAATTAGTAAATATTGTTTTGGTTAATCGACCTTTCACATCATCCACTTGTGCAGGAAGGGGGTGAGAGAGTTGCCTCTCACACAAACAGAATTTATTGTTAATACAACAATATTTGTATAAAAGGGAACGCTCCATCCGTTGGTTATTGAATTTTTAGTTTGTATTACTAAACAATTAAATTGCTACCTTACTATCTGTTTACGATACCACTGTCCTTCATAATGAAAAGGCTTCTAATCAAAAGAGACACATGCAAACGTCAATAATTTGACGGGAAATTCATTGATCAGGATTTTACCATACATGAAGTGCCAAGAGTTTGCGGTACGGTATAAATGTACAAGGAAGTAATTGGTGGTAAAGGAATAGTGGGATATACCATTCAACAAATTCAAAAAACAGATTTACAGGTCAACATAAAAAATGTAACTTTGTGATTACTAGTATCATACTTTTTATTTATTTGTAGAAAAAAATTGAGTTTCTGTTTTATATTTTCCTGCTATTTCCCCATTTCATCATCCATAATGGATGTTAGATAGATAGATAGATAAATGGTATTTATTGATTCATTTCCATGTATCGCAGTTACAAGTAACTGAATTGTGCATGAATAAAACATTGATGGTGAAGACAATTATACATTTCAAGAGATATCATAGTAAAAAGTAACTAAATTGCACATGAGTAAATTGCTGAAAAAGCAAGTATACATTTCAAGATGTCACCCTACAATCTACATAATTATGAAGAGCGTGTATATACTATATACCATTAATCTTATACAATATTTCAATTTAAAAATTTGAGTTAAAAAAGAAAGAGAGATGGGAAAGCAGAAGAGAGAGAATGAAAGAGAGAGAAAGAGAGAGAGAGAAAGAGAAAGAGAGAGAGAGAGAGAGAGAGAGGAGAAAGGGGACAGATGGACAGAGAGGGAAAACAATTATGTACATGCTGATAAAATACAAAGATACATTGCAAGACAAATATGAATATTATAAGGTGAACATTAGAGATATTAAAATATAAATATGGATATGCATCGCATTCTTCATGTCATAAAAAATACATAGACTAACTTGGTAAAAAATCAGACCTCAAATTTATGAATTAATTATATACTAAGGAATATGAAATTGTAATTTGACATTCAATTTGTTTCAAAGTATATTAAATACAATCATAAAAAACGTTTGTTATACAAACGGATCAAATCTGGGATTGTGCTATTCTGCATACGTTTAGTTTTGCACCTGGGTTCAGGGATCTTGTTAGTACTTCGCAAAGTTCTATTGTGTGCTCTTTGGGGGTATAAATTGTTTGAACTGGTCTGTGCATGATAGAGTTTTTTAAAGAAGGTAACACATAAGTCATTTCGACGACTTTCCAATGTTTGTAATTTCGATTTAGTAAGAGCGTTTGCGTAACTATGGTAATCCTTTCCAAAGATAATCCTCAATGCACGTTTTGTAATCTTTCTATGCGTTGTTGTTCTTGTGCACTATAGTGAGGCCTCCGCTCCAAACTTGAGGAGCATATTCAAGGATTGGGCGAATATAGCCAATAAAAATAGTAATCAGATCTTGTGAAAGACTGAACTTCCCTAAAGAACGTAGCATATATAGTTTCGCATTCGCTCTTTTTTCAATATCTCTGACATGGGCTTCCCACTTTAAATCGTTTTGTATCGTGACACCAAGTAATTTCACCTGTGAAACAGTTGAAAGAACACAATTTTCGAGAATGATGGAAGACTGATTGACTGGTACTCTAGAAAAGCAAATGTCCATTTTGATACACTTCGCAGGATTCAGTTACATTTTATTAATATCAGCCCACAAAGATAGACATTCTACAGCTTCTTGCATGTTTGAAATTTGGTTTGTTTTACGACACTCAACTAGGGTTAGATCATCGACATATTTAAACATAATTATGTATGCTTTCAAAAGATTTGAAATCATTTATCATCACAAGAAAAATTAGGGGCCCAAGTTTCGTACCCTGGGGCACACCTGCATTTATTTGACACCATTCTGAGAGATCGCTGTGATAGCGAACTCTTTGTTTACGTTCAGAAAGAAAATCAGATATCCAGTAAACTGTCGCTGGTCGTACACCGATTTCAGAAATGGAAATGTGAATGAAAGATATAATACTGGAAGACATAGAGATTATTCACATGTGTCCGTTTGAATTTAAAATGCAACTTTTTATATTGACTCTAAAAGGGCAAGGGTACGTATTCCCTCCAAGCCTGTGTAAATGTTGACCGCCTTCTAGACTATAAAAACTGGTGACCCCCCCCCCCACCCCCTCCCACATGGACTGAGGAACATGCTTATAGCCACTGAATAAACCTGTTACCTTTTAGGTCATATATTATTATATAAATAAGAAAAAATAAACAAAAAATGTGACTCTCCTCCTTCATGGAATGTTTAACTGACAAAGGTGCCATTCAATATCCGATGTAAACAATTAATAAAAGCAAATCATTTTTTTCATACCAATTATTTTTCCAAAGTAGAGTACTGTACTGAACGGTGGCATATTTAGGTAGTACCCCCTCCCTTCAGGCAAACATAAATTTTCCCCGGCCCTCCTTCGTTTACGTAACATAATTATTGACGTATAGCTGTAAAACCGAGTCGAAAGTGAAAGAGTGGTTGATTTTGCATTTTTATTCATGAAAACGCGATTGAGCATTAACCACGGGCATTATCGTTGGGCATATTGTCGTGGGAGGGGATGAGTCCTTCCTATCGAATCCTATGTAAAGGACGACAAAACAGGCTTTCATCTTGGTAAAATATTAATTCGTCATCAAAATACTTCATAAGATATATACCCAAAAAAAATTCCGGGCACCTCGCTTCATAACGCCCGCATATTGGAACATTAAAAATGACCTGCCTTCAAACAGCATTTTCGAATTTCGAACATTGATGGAAGTTGTCTTCTATTCACTTCTTCCTCAATATGGGATGCTAAGCCTGATTAACGAACGGGGGGAATGAAGTTGGGAAATTAGCAATTAGGTTTATACGTTGAACCTTCCATGCATTGTTGTATACACTCCAGTAATATAGGGAGCACGCTACGCAACGTAAATTATATCTTACACTGTTCGTATGCGGGGAAGCAATATAATTTTTGGGGGACTATTTCTGATGCACGTTACCATGTGTATTGGTGGTCCATGAAATCCGGGATGTAATCAGTACGGATAATATCTATTCCCTTTTTTACTCCCCTAATTTCTCTTTCTTTCATTTGCATTTTGGTGTTGCACTGGGCCCGTCTCTTTGTGTAATAAATATTGTTATATTCCTCCCCCCCCCCTCCGGCCCCTCCCTCCCGTTCAAGTTTCATCTGGGGCACTGAAGCCCCCTGTACTATAGGCTAGCTACGCCACTGTCTCCTGCATGCGTTCCTTTTGCTGCTTCTCCTTCATTTCTTCTTTCTCCGAGTCCTCCTGTTTTTCTTCTTCTTCTTTTTCTTCTTCTTATTTCTTCTTCTTTGCCCCTCTTCCTCCCAGATCAGTTTTCTCCTTCTTTCCCCCCGTCCCCTGGGACTGGGCCCTCTAAGTTCCTCCTTCCTCTTCTTCTTTTTCTTTTTTCTTAGGTTCGATCTTCAGATTTGTCTTCTTCATTTTTTCTGCTCTTCTCTGCTCCCCCCTCTCTCTCTCTCTCTCTCTCTCTCTCTCTCTCTCCCTCCCCCTCTCTCTCTCTCTCTCTCTCTCTCTCTCTCTCTCTCTCTCTCTCTCCGGCCTCTTTCTTTATATTGTGTTCGTGCTTAGTCTGCTGTAGATTTCTGTAGATATCTTTCATTTGTCATTCAGAATTTTACCCCCCAAAACTAAATTGTTTTGTTTTGCTTTGATTTGATTTATTTCTGATCTGTTTTTGTTTTGTTTTGTTTTGTTTGTTTGTATTTATATATTCATTTCCACGGAATTGTCCAGAATTTATGGGTGTTTTTTCGGTACCGGTAATGGCCTATAAATACTAGCTACATGTAGCTCATCATATATTTTGCATCGGAGATCCTACATTAGTATGTTAGATCTATAGAAGCGAGGCATTTTGTCATAGCGCCATCTCTCAAGCTATTCAACTTTAGTAATTCCGTCTCGACCCTTGAAGCGCAACATCATCACATATGCAGACGTGTTCACTCTACTAAATCAAGACCAGCTGGTTAAATTACTTTTCTTTTTTCATTCCGGATATCAATAGTATATAACAGATATAGCCTAGGTCTCAATGGGATTGCATCAGAGATAGACGAAACAAAAGTCAGAAAACCTTCCTTTAAACAAAAAATTGTTTTCCTTAGTCCCATGAATTGACTTTTCAAAATGCGATCGTCGAAGTTGGTGTTTGTTGGACTGGCAATAATTATTGTCGTTATTATGTCCATGTATTTGATGTTGGATCAAACCGGATTTCCTCAAGAATTTCCAGGGCAGGCAAGAATGTCAGAGGTGAGTCATCCCTGTTATGGCAGTCAAAATTTCACAAAACATGCAAAATGATAACTTCGCCTTCGGGCCGGGAAGCGTTATTTTTTTCGGCGGCACAGATTGGGGTTAGGTGCGTGTTGAAGTCTTGAAGTCTTCGATAGGAAAAGGGGGTGATTTTTTGTCCTACCCCGACGATTCTTCCATGTTGTTTCGTCGATTCAACCGGCGAAGAGAAAGTACACTAAGTATGCATGCGCTGTAGTGTGTACTTTCTCTTCACCGGTTGAAACAACGAAACAACATTGGAAGAATCATCGGGGTAGGACGAAGAATCACCCCCTTTTCCCATCGAAGACTTCTTCAAATTATAATTTCAAGTTGATGGATAGTTGGCACTATGCTGAGTGTGCGTCACTTATGTGTGAAGTGCATCACCTGTTTAAAGCATGACATGTCAGTGCGTTGTGTAATGTTACGTATTGGCATTGCACGTTATAGAACTTTTGTGTGGGGGCCCTCATTTAAATATGAAACAGCTCGAGCGGCTCCGTCAATCTCATTGGAGAAAGAGAGAGCGAGTGATAGATCATGATCTTAGTGCGCAGCGCTAAATGCGGAAAGTTCTACATGGGGGAAGGGGGGCACACATCAAAGTAGACCGAAAGCTTCAGTCTCTGATATCGACGGTTGTTCCGCTGAGATTACATCTAGACTGAAGTACTTCCTATGCTATGGGCATGGCCCTGGGAAGCTGGGGGTGCTCACACATAGGAGCATCACTATCCTGGCTGTGTAGTAAAAGCTGTGCCTTTGATTCTCAACATTTCAAACACCACTGTACAAAACTCAACTAATTTCACTAAAAATCGGTACTTTAGTGACAATTGATGACAACTAAATAGCAGTAAAATACTTTTTTTTTAACTTACTGATGTTAAAAAGAATAATTTAAAAATTCAAATTGTAAGTCTAGTGTCAATCTTTGCTTACAGCTGCATCAACATAATTGTGTACAGTCTATGCGATTTTGTGTGGTGTGTATATTTGTGTATGGGTATAATAATACCTGTCTCACAGCAAGCATGCAGTGCTAGAGGTCAACACGCATTAGCAATTGACTCTCTATGCTTTGCTGGAGTGGGGGTGCTGGGGGTGCTGCAGCACCACCGGAATTTTTCCAGGGGGGGCATAGCACCCCCTGCAAATTTTTTTGGTATGATATATTTAATGTATATCATTACATGCTTCGTTTACAAAATTGTCACCCAACCGACAGCCACAAATGATGATTAGAATGAAAAAAATTATGTTACTTTCAAACCCTCAAAGAGATTTTTTAATTTGTTTTTAATTTTTAAATATAGGGGTCTAGTCTAATTAAAAAAAATTAAAAAAAATTAAAAAAATGGTGGTTATTGGTGACCCAAAATGACAGACCTTACCCCCCCCAATACCGATCAACCCCCCCCCCCAAAAAAATATGCTCTCTTACCCCCCCCCCCCCCTCCCCCGCTTATTCAGTGGCTAGCTGAGTCGTTGCGAAATTATTGGGACCCCCCCCCCCCCCAAAAAAAAAGGTTCTCTTACCTCCCCCGCTTTATCAATGGCTAGCTCAGTTGTTCGCAAAATTTTTGGGACCAAAAAATCCCCCCCCCCCCCTGCTTATTTAATGGCTGGCTGAGTTGTTCCCAGGGCCCTGGCTATGGAGAATGTGAGGAAGAGATCGTTTGGTTCGGCCGGACCATGATTAATGAGATATGCAACATGTCTTTCACTCTTTACGTCTTCATATATATACTTTGGCTGCAATATTACACTGAATCTTGTTAAAAATAACACAGAAATATTTACTTTGACTTACAATAGCTTGCTCATTTAGATCCTAAATTATAAAGCATGATTTAATGCCAGCCATCTTGGTTAGAGTTGATGAATATTCATTTTTTCTTTTCAAACGTCCATTAGCTACATGTACATGTACGTACGAGTCAGCCCAGCTTGACCCAGTAATATAGGAATGTTCATAAACCTAATATTAAACGAGTGCTCTGATTGGCCATTGGCTATGTTTTGGTAAGTTGACTCGGAAATATATATCGGCCAGGTCATGTCATAGATTACCAGTACGAATGCATGAACGTACCGTTTTTAGGGTTCTGAGATAAATTTGGAAAATTTGTAATTTCGTATTTGGAAATAGGTAATTAATACAAACTTTGATAACTGTACATATGATGTAGGAGAAAAATATACATATTTTTTTTCTATCTGATATATAAATCAGAAAATTAGATCGAAATAAAGAAAATCGGGGGAGAAAAAAGTAGTACATGAGATTGAGATTCACCTGATCAGAATAATAGTATTTCAATAGGCAATAGAATCCAAACTGCAACATTAGTCGTTGCCAGGTTGGACAAACATTATGGATTGCCCTACCTAGCAACACTTCATTTATGCAGTTTGCATTCTGACTGTTGAAAAAATGTTATTCTTATCAGGTGAATGAAATAGTTTGTATTGAGGCACTTCACAACGACGTATGCATAAAATTTGATTACATTACAAATCTATGTTGTGAGGACCCCACGTCACAAAAAAAATGCATTTTGGGGGAGAACCGGCTCGACCATCTAATTTTTATTTGCCCACTAAACAAAATTTTAAAAATGAGTCTGAGCACCATTTTCCAAAACCAAGTTATATTTGGGCTTTTTAGATTTTTGTCTATCTAATCAGCTCAATGTTTCAGTGGAGTGGAGTTGTAAAGGTTAATCCAACCCTAATTTCCAACTGCTCTAAAAGAAAGCAGGCTGGTGCAAGTTTGAATGAAATCGGATGTAAAATATTAAAGAAAGTTATGAAATTTGAAAAATGTTAATCATCAAATGTACATGTATGGGCTCTTCAAAATGGTTGAATTAGTAATGTCAATATAACAAAGTGCTGGACTACTTCACCATTTGTTATTTTGTTCCAAAACACAATATGACTGTATGATGCTGGAGTGTCTTTTCTTTAAATATTAAATCTTTGCATTCCACATTATATTTCCCATAGTGCCCCAAGGGAGAAGACGCTTTTAAAGAGAAAAACTGATATTTATGGTAATTTTGTACACAACGTCAACAATCCGTAGAGTCATCTGCTATGTATGTCACAATCCAATGCAGATCTTAGATTAGCATAGATTTAGTGATCTCATATTTTAAACATTCATAACTCTCTTATCATTGGTTGGACTCAATTTCAAACTTTCTTGGTTCTATTTCTCCTATTTTTCTGCTTTCATACAAATAAATTATTACAAATGTTGGATTGCCTTTCAAGTCGACTTGTTGAATTCTTTTTATGTTTTATCTTATGTCCATGTACATGCACTAAATACTTGTGGGTGATAAACCATTCATTTCAGTGCAATTACCCCACTCATGGTATTCAGTACATAAGACATCTTATGTGCACAGACAGCAAAATGCACAGACAGCCATAAAAGTATCATATGCCACATTCAAATGAATTCCTATGTACCATGCCATTGATGTAGGCCTATGTAGATTCCACAGTTCTACTTGTGTTATGCCCTTATTATGCATATGCTGTATGTCAAGTTGTTTTACACAGGTTTCATAACAAAAAGTCTTTGCTATTCCAGGCATGCTTTTAATAACAGAAAGGTTGTGAGGTGCTTCTTTTGTCTGAAAACTGATTTGTCACTCTTCAGCTATTGTCCGCTTTACAATAGGCACACAGTGTGATATTGAATATGGTCCTGAAAGCAACTATTAAATTAAACGTGCTTTAAAAGACCTGGGGTGTTTCACAAAGATCTTAAGTCAAACTTAACTCTAAGTTGGACTTTACATTATTGAGAGCCATTTGTAGCCTCAAAATAAAATATATTCAAAAGCAAAAATTAAATTATTTAGACTTATCATAAATTCCACATCAAGAACATGAAAGCTCCTTGATAATTGAAAATATGAATGATTTGAATCAACATTTTATACCTTTTAAAATAACTTTTACAAAATATTTTCAAAGATAATATTACGGCTTTCCATAATTGTTAAGTCCAACTTAGAGATAAGTTCAACTTAGGATCTTTGCGAAACAGGCCCCCTGATAAGATAAGAGAGTAAATATACATGATTTCCACTCAAAATTCGCACAGTTTGGTTGCTTCAAGGCCTTTTTAATTCAGGACATCCTTTCATAGGTCAGTGCACCCCCACCCACAAACATACATATATAGGGGTGGTACAGTACACATTTCAATGATTTTGACACTATTCATGCTCACTGTAGGACTAGGTAGTCCATGGTTGTATACTTGTATTAGTACATGTAATTCAATGAGAATCAAACAAATGACAAAATAAGACCTCATTGTTTGAAAAATATATGTAAAAGAATATTAAAATTGTTGTACAGGTGTACCAGTACTTAGTAATGTTCGCTCACAAAGTAATACATGTAGGACTACATTATTTACTCCATATAGATCATTTTATTAATGCATACAAATTTAGGACGTTATTGTCTAGTCCCAGTGTAGACTGACATGCATGTCACATTATTGTTGCTAGGTCAGACAAATATCAAATAAGCTTTGAAGCTTGTTAAGTTGTTCTAAAGTAATTATAGAAAGACATGTACCGGTACATGTAAATGAAAAAAGGAGATAATTAGGATTAGGATGAATTGCATTGTGGAAGGCCAAGACAGAAAATGCATTGATATGATAGTTATGACTCCACAGATATTTGATCCATCATTCAATTCATTTTCATCATTTCAAGATAAAACGGAATAAAGCTATGTATAACCTGGAAGAAAATTTTGACCTGTAAGTTCAAGTACATGTATAATACCTGTGGCCTGTTGTCTGAAGTTGTTTGCTTTATGAAGAAAAAATACCTGTTTTAATAAACTTCAATCAAATTGTGTGAGCTTTGAACCCATAAATTGGTGCAAGATTACTGTACAGTTTATATAGCAAGTTCAAATAGTTAAAAACAGGTACAATTTTTTTTTTAAAGCAAACAGCTGCATTCCAATTTTTTTAAAAACTAATAATTGACAATGGTCATTGATTTTTTATTACTATTTTCAATCCATTCCTGCCAACCAAAGTCAAGTTTACCAAAGATTAAAATTTCATTTTACTCTCTATAACTACTACACATAAACTAAGTACACTGTAATCAAATATTACAAGCATGCTAATATCTGACTAATGATTTCAAGCAATTTATATGCACTGCAGCCTTCATTTACACTAGTCACAAGTTCAGAATGCACTCTGGGTGTTTGACATTTGAGAGGGGATATCCATGCCTGCATGACACATACACGTAGGTCTAGACCATGGGACTCTGCACGTTCAATTAAGTAAGCACTTATTAAAGTGTAGTGTATAATACGTGTATGAATGGATAATTATACTACACAAATCCTGATAAAAGTAGTTTATCTCACTTTTTTATTCCACAGTACCAGGGCCGGTACATGCACTTCATCCTCTCATTATCAATATCACATATCAAATCACTCCTATTACATAGGTACATGTACATAATGATAAAACTGGTTGGAAAACAATACAAAGTACATTGTATTTATGTTGAACCATTTTCTTGGGTTCTCACAGGAATGTTGACACTATTCAGATATTTATTCAATAGGCCTATTTACACATCCCAAACACCATTTTTTTTAATTATTAATTTTTTGGACTACGTACCATTTACACTATTAGTAAAACCCATAAAAACTGTTGAATTTTATTGATCCTGATTATTTTTGCGATTAGTGCGCGTGTGCCACTCGTCGGTGCCCTGCATGTGTCAGCACGGAAGCGCAGACAGTTACATGAGCAAAAAATCAGTATCTTTCCCTATTGCATTTACACTGGAAAAATCTGTGAAACTTCGGCAGGCTTTAAAAAAAAAAACACTTCAGAGGTGGATTTTTTATTGATTGTTTTGCCAGTAGTTGCTATGCAACTGCAACTACTGGCGAAAAAAAGGCATTCCTGTCAACGCAACAACAAAATAGCATTTGAAGGCAAAAGGGGATATCTGTCAATCCTCTTGTCAACTTGCTTGCTGGCAATAGTGTACATGACTAGTCCGGTTAATAATAGCACGTAATGATTTTATTATTTGACACAATACAGTACTTCACATTATCCTATCGATAAGCGTAACAATTTGCTTTAGTATCATATAACAAATATAACAAATGACAAGTATGGTTTTCCTGAAAATTGCATTACCTGTACAATGTATATATATATTCATTATTATGGAAAATGTTGTATAATATACAACAATGGGCAAATAATAAGTTTGTTTCCAGACCAAAGATTTGAGTGAGAAGAACTTACGAGTGATGTTATCGAACAACTTAACAATATCAGTCTTCTATCCTCCTAAATAAACCTGGGAAACTTGAAAATTGCATTACAATGTAAATTCATCATTAGTGAAAATGTAATACAATATACAACAATGGGCAAATAATTGTTTCCAGACCAATAATTTGAGTGAGAAGAACTTGCATTTTATATTGAAACTGTGGCCGTTTGTACATGTATATGTACACACTATGAATATGGCAGACAAAGAAAGCGGACAAAATATACAGTTCCTCAGGTAGACAAAGGAACATCCCTTCACTGCTATTATGTAAAAAATGTGTAGAACAGGTGAATATGCATGTGACACCTGTTCCACACACTTCTACATAATAGCAGGGAAAGGATGTTCCTTTGTCTACCTGAGGAACTGTATATTTTGTCCGCTTTCATTGTCCGTCATGTTAATAGTGACATGAACTTAAAATAATAAGTAGCCTTGAAAGTGTCGCAATATATCATGTATGAGTGAGCTTGAAGTTTAATGGTGTAGGTTTGATTGAGACTGTATAGGCTAGCCTTTACACTGTTTCATTAATGAGACATATCTTCAATCAAATCAGACTGAGTTATGTAAATCCAACAACTTCCCAGTATTAAATTTCCATTTTCCTAAATAAACCATTACACATAATGATATTATTACCGGTAAATATGGTACCTGGCTGGATGGGATCGCACTCTGTTCAAAGACCGGTAGTGGTACAATTGCGGTTCAAGGATTTTGGGTGTAAAATATCCATTAAATATTGTTTAAATATTGCCTTCAGAGGTTTCGATGGCAATACTTCAACCTAAATTCACAAAAAAGCAGACATATGCCCAAATGTGCAATGTTGAAGTGCATTCGCGATATCTATCCAGGCCGGATCGATAATGATAATTTACCATATATACATGTATATCAAATAATAGGCGGTTTCCCAGCAAAATTTGTATCATCACATAATAGTCAAAACATATTCTTTCACAGGATTAGTAATAAGAGCTTCCATTTCATTTTTTGAGAAGGGGTGTTTCCAAAACTGGTCTATACCTTTAATAAGTTCTCTCAGCTTTGTGAATAACACATTATTATTAAAATATGGTAATCTGTACTGTAGGTTCCTCACTGTAGCTTTTGTATTAGTAACAATGTCTTGTCTTCTCATGTCTAGATAATTTGAAATTCCAAGAATCCAACCAATGGAGACAAGATAGATACATGTGTACATACCGTACCTTTTTCCTAAATGCCAAATCACTATCTGGTTTTATCTTTCAATTACAAAAAAAATAATAACAGACATTCCATACTGTTGTACTTCATTTCACTAAAATGGTCATGGATCTCTTTTCACTACCGTATGTACAATACACAAACTACATGTATGCCTTTTTGCATTTCGCAGGCAGAAAACTATTGATGCATGATGTGACAAAAAGCCTAGAGCTGTATAGGAATGATCCATCTAGTCTTCATCCATCTACCCGCTATCACATGCATAATGTATGTTTGATTAGGTAGGATGACAGTAAAGAGTTACACTTCTATCCCCATCAATCTTTCCACTCTTTCATATTGAGGATGAGGAGGAGGAAAGTAGTTGCATGATACCTTTGAAATGCTTCATTTACATTAGCAAAATGATTGTATAACCGTACCTGAACTGTAAGAAAACAGTACAAGTGGATGTGGCTTATCATAAGGGCGGGCTGTTATAATCTGTCCCATTCTAACTTCAATGTACAGTATGTGGGAAATAACACATTCATTCCTGGTTATCTATAACCTTAAAGGGATAGTTGAGTTCTGTTACACAAAATAATTTTTTGTGAGATAATGAAAAACAGAGTGTCAAATATACAATTTAAATGACAAAATCATCTTTGTTTGATCAAAATCGGTTCAGAGACGGCTGAAATATCCATAAATATAACAATTTATAATACTTGTGTACCACCACAAATATTAGATAATTTGAAAAAGCCATTGAAATATTGAAATAGCACCTTTTACGTTGTATTTCAGCCAATGCTGATGTTGGCTTTGTTGTTGGCATTTTCGTGTTGGTTATATTACGCACAACCAACCAGCCCGTGTATTGTTATTTTTAATTAAATAATGAATTAAAGGTCAACGTATTTTTTTGAAAGTGGAACTGAATTAGTATGATCGTATTGGCTAAATTTCATACATTTTGGGGTCTAAAATTAAAATTATCTTCATAGCAATTTTAGTTTCTAAAAGGGCACTAGGAATGTCATAGATAAGAATAAAAGCAATAACCATGCACTTTGAAGGCACTGAAGGCAACTATCCCTTTAAAAAAAGTTTTATCGTTTCTTCTGCCGCCAGTCATGTGAAAAGGAAGGATGGCTCAACATTATTACATTTTTTTTCTTATGCAATTTCTTCATAGCTCTCTGTGCATTGCAGGATGTAAACCTTGAATTTTTTCCTCCTTTCTGTTTGTCATTGAGCATTGTAGCTAGAATTTCATCAGTGGGTTCTTTGAACATTGTTTCATTGGGGGGATGACCAGATAATGTCTATGATTTGAGGTGTTTGATTTCATGCTGATATACTGTGAGAGTATCTAGACACCTAGTGAGAAAAAAAATGTTTGACGTTGGATGTTTTTCACTTTATTGTGAGGGGAAACACAGTATATTTGGGGGTTCATAATCAATGGAGGGAAGCATACGTAGTACATGGCTCTACTAGTATCTTGGTTGTCCTGGGTGCCATAGTGTTTACAAATTCATCAATTAAATTAAGGGCTTAATGGCATTACTGTACTGTACAGTATGTAATGGATGTGAATCCAGGATAATGCAATTTAATTACCGGTACTAGTGATGTGAGTATTTGTCTTAATAGAGCAAATTTCTATTTTATTCAAACATTTTTTAATATTCACCTCCAAAGAGGATTTAGTCTGGACTCAGTTTGGACGCTGTCTGGATCGAACAATCAAAATAAATGTTACATGAATGGTATTTGCAGTGCTTTGCTTTACACTCATTGCCAAGTTTAAGAGGGTCGTTCAAAGGAAATATAATACTCAATGAATATTATAAATATTTCCTTGGAAATGGTATGTAGTAGTGGGAACAAGGAACAACCCTTGTCTGTAATCCTTGGAATTTATTAGCACCGAGTTTGTATGTCACATTTTGTAGTTTTGTAGTGGTACATCGTACATGTATGTTCGAAATTCAAAACTGAGCTCTAAGTTTTAGGAAGTGGTATTCTCCAACTAGTGTGTAATGTGAGGTACAGTTTTACATGTACATGAAGAAACAAAATATTCCATCTATAGTTATACTCTTGATATTCATGTGCTGGAAGATGTTTCAGAAATACTTCAAACGATAATTTCTGGTCATTGAAAGAATTTTTTTTTTGTACATAGGTAGTCTAATAACAATTGCCCTTCCCTCTTTATATTCCTATTCACAGCAAGACATCGCTCTCTTAGAAAGCAAGGTGACGGCTCTAGAAGGAGACCTGTCTAAGAACCACATGGTGATTAGTCAGCTCCGAGATGCAGTCCGTTCCTTAGCCAAGGGTCAGGTACCATCCAACCTGGATGCCCTCGTCAAACCCATTGATTCGGCCCACCATGTCCAGGAACAGGAAGGCTGGTTTGGGTTCGGCAAGAAGAAGGGTCCTGGACCAGGACTGCCCATGGGTGGGGATCCGGCTGCAGGAGGCGTGGCTAATCACAAGGACCAGTTTGTTGTGGCAGAGGGTCAGGTCCATGTGGAGCCAGGGGAGTGTAAATTTGCTAACACGCCCTCCGGAAATACCACAGATGTACAGGTAAAGTTTTTATGTGTTTTTTTATGAATCTGTTACGAAGTAGCCTTGTTAGGTTGTCCGTCCGTCTGTACGTCCCGTTCTTGTGATCGCGTTACCTCAAGAACCGATTGATGGATTACTGCCAAACTTAGATCTTGAAGAGCCAATGGATTGATTGGATTTTGGGGTCATGAGGTCAAAGGTTACAGGGCTCATCATGCAAAAATAGCTTGTGATCGCATTATTATTAACACCGATGGACAGATTACCATCAAACGCAGGACCTTGCTTAGCCAATGAACAGATGAGATTTGGGGGTCATGAGGTCAAAGATGAAAGGGTCACACATGTATATGAAAAACAGCTTGTAATCACGATATTCTGAGAACCTGTTTAAAGGTAAAGACCAGTATTGGAAACGCCCCAATTTCAAAAAATGAAATGGAAGCTCTTTATTACCAATCATGTGAAAGAATATGTTTTGACTAATACATGATGATACAAATTTTGCTGGGAAACCGCCTACTAATTGATATATTTGGTAAATTAGTTTATCTATTGGACTGTGAGAGATAAACGCACATGTCCCGCACGTGTGCATATTCCCATATACATCTTTCTGTGTACAGTGCTTGTAACTTTACGAAGACTGGGCCAAATTTCTTATCATTTTGATGATTCCAGAACCTTGCAGTACACACCAATACTTATATGCTAGATGATCAACCTTTTCTGATAGATTCCACAACGTTTCTTTAATAATGGATTACAATTAAACTTGAATTTCAAAAATTGCTTCTGTTTGGGTTTGTGAAATTGCTCTATGGCGTAGGCATCATTTTCGACTGTGCGCAGTCAAAGTTCCATCTAGATTGTTTGTTTTGTATGTTTGTTTTTCTTAAACGGAAGGTAGGGGATCGATGAAAATAGTCAGAAATTGCCCTCACAGAAATCTCATTCTTGTAGTATATGGAAAAAAAGAGCTCTTAAAAAACCCAGAATGTTTATGCTTCTTGTTACAAAATTAAGATACCAAAGTTTATGAGAGAAGATAAACGATAAAATCAAACATTCTATTAACTTTGATCCTATGATAGCTTAAACGTAACATTCCAAAATGCAGTGAGAATGGACCAGATGTATTGTTAAGTGTTCTGTTCAGGAAACAAATAACCTGTTTCAAAAGAGTATTGATTATTAAACCTTGTATTTTCAAACACGTGCCTTTACATGTTCCAAATATGTTATACACGTACGTGTACATATAGATATTAATCTCAACTCAACATAATGGAAAGGTGTGTTTTTACTTTCCTGATGGAACTATAGCAATTTGATGTTTATTTAGAACAGAAATGTTACACTTTCTAGATAACTTTGGCAAACAGGTGTGTCTGTCTGTGTGTGTGTTTTTCTTTTGTTTTGTTCTGTTTCATTTCCATATAGTGATTGAATTGAGTCTGAATTTTGCCTTTCTTTGATGAAAGGATTCTGCTTACAAACTATTAATTATTAACGTTACGTTTACTGTATTAATACACTTGTCGTGTGTTGATGATCGATTTCTTTATTGAAGCAGTATTGCTGGTAGCATTCTTTTCAGCTTTGAGTGCAGAGTCTGTCGAGGCCTCCACTTTCAGCTGGAGTCTGTGGAAAATGCTTTTTATACCAATATCAATTTTTATCCCAAGTTCATTGAGTCGAGGGAAATGCTTGAACAAAAACAAATGAAGACTGGAGTGTAAGACAATATATTGGGTACCTGGGTAAACCTGCTAGAACATTGATTTAGAATTTAGAATATTGATTTTAAGTAAAGTAATACAATATATGGTGAAGCTGATTGTATGGATTTTAGGGCACTATCATTTTGCTTGTACAGGTGTATGTACAGAATCTACAGGTTTACTTCTTTCCCTGTACACAGTAATATCATTTCTCAGTTATTTTTAATGAAGGGTCAGGCTTGAGCTTGACTAGGTTTTGTACCAATCTAACCAATGTTTTTCTTTTATATGTAAATGTATTTTACTCAACTGCCTTTCTTTTTTCTTTTTTCTTTTTTCTTCCTTCTTCCTGGTTTGGTAATTGTAGTAAATCTTATAGCCTCTTACCATCCTTGTGTGTAATTCTTTTTTTTTTATAAATATTTATTTTTATTTTTTAGATGATGCAAGTTTATGAGAAGCTTCGTTTTGACAATGCGAATGGTGGCGTGTGGAAGCAAGGCTTTGACATCAGCTATGACCATAATAAATGGAACGAGGATCCTCTCAAGATCTTCGTTGTTCCACATTCCCATAATGATCCAGGTACGATGTAATTGGTCTCCAGAATGTCCTGAATTTGAAGAATCATCAAGGATTCTATCATCTGAATGCAATGAAGTGGATGCCTTTTTTTGCTAACTAGCACAAAGGAAAACAATTCAGTTTTATTCTGTGTTTTTTCTTCTTCAAAGTTCAAGTTCATTTGCCGCATAACATTGAAAAGATAACATTGACAAGGCATGAAACATCATACACTTGCAAATAAAAAACAGAATATGTACTGCTCAAATGTAGTAATGTGAGAATGTATTGAAGTAATAAAAGTCCATTTTTTTATTCCATTTATGAATAAGCAAGAAATGTGTGCTATGGATATGGGGATCTCAGTCTCTAAAATAAGAGTTTGAGCATGCTGTACACTGGCTGCACATTGCAGAAAAAATATACTTTGGAGGGTTTCAATTATCATTTAAACAATATTTCATTTTCATATCATTTTTTAAAAGATAGTGAAAGAATACTGTAAATAAATTTTTATTTATTTAACATTAATCTATATATCTATAGCTGATGGATGAGGGTATTCCATAACAGTTTGTGAACTGAACATAAATGTCTTGAATTCATTTATTTTTCCAGGTTGGATCAAGACTTTTACCAAGTATTTTACGGACCAGACCTCAAAAATCTTAGATACTATGGTGAAGAAGATGGAAGAGCATCCGAAGATGACATTCATCTGGGCGGAGATCTCGTATCTCTCCATGTGGTGGGAAAAGGCTGATAATAACAAGAGACAAATTGTGAAAAAGTAAGGAGATGCACTTTTTACAATCATTGTTTTCTTTATCTTTATTGTCTTCAGCATCATCATCACCATCCTTCTCCTCAATGTAATAAGTAACACCACCACCATCACCATGGTTATTAGAATCATTATCATTACCATCAATAGAATTATTATCATCATCAAAACAACAACACCATTATCATCAACATCATCATCAGAACTGCTACATGTATTAACAATGCCATGATCAGAATCAAATGAAAATAATAGATGTTATTCACATTCATCATCAAGAACAGCACCGTCATCATCATCATCAACATCATCGTCGTCATCATTAGCATCGTCATTTAGAAATTGGAACCCCAGCTAATTACTGAATATATTGCATTTTCTTTTTCAATAAAAAATAATAATTTGTAATTGTCCTTATAGGTTAGTACAGAGTGGGCGGCTTGAGATTGTGACAGGAGGATGGGTGATGAGCGATGAGGCAAACACTAACTACTTTGCTATGGTGGATCAGATGATAGAAGGCCATGAATGGCTGGATGCATTCTTGCCAGGTATGCATCCTCATTTATAACATGATCATTTTCATTTATCTGAATCAGCAACCTATTCTTTCAAAACATGTTGGGATTCCTATGCTGTTTTACACAGTGAAAATGCAGATCTTGACAAATTTTTAAACATGAAATTTGATTTGGGTATTTTACTTTTCTGTCAACATGCAAAAGAGCTCCTTTAACACAGAGAGGAAAAGAGAGAGGGAATAAGAGAATAAAAGGGGGAGTATCTTGCTTGGACATCTTGCTCCATATTGAAATGAGCATCTGTTTCATTTGAGAACTGATGTTGAATACAAATGTGTAAGACTTTGATTAAATTTGCACTTTTGACATTCACATATGGCCAAGATGAAATCTGTCATATCCAAGATTTGAAACTGAAAAGGAAAAGTTAAGCCCCATTCAGATATGATGTAGTAAATTGCACTGTTTTTATTCATGATGACGTATGAAGTGTATAGGAGGTATTAAGCGGTTTACCACTTCATATCCGAAGGAGCCTTTAGTGGTCTGCTCCTTTGTATGTTCAGCGAAATGGGTAGATTTTAATTCACTTTGAGCTCATGTCATTAACATATGGCCAAGGTAATGTCTGCCATAACCTAGATTGAAACTCACAAGAAATTGTGCTTACATTTCTAGGAGTGAAGCCTAAGAGTGGATGGGCGATCGATCCGTTTGGTATGTCTCCCACCATGGCTTATGTTCTACAGAGGATGGGCTTGGAAGCCATGATTATCCAGAGGGTTCATTATGAAATCAAGAAGTATTTCGCTCAGCAGAAGACGTTGGAATTCATGTGGAGGCAAAACTGGGGTGAGTTCAAAATCTGTTCATACAGCTATTCTTTTTGGGGGGTGTGAATATGTTTCTGCTATTATTGTAACATGTTCAATACATATGACACTGTTAAAGTAAAGTTTGTGTCATAAAATTAATTGTGACTAGAGCATGAACAATCATGGAAACTTTAGAGAAAATTTCTTTTCATTGACTTTTACAAATGGATCATTCTAATGTAAACTGTGAAGGTGAAATGTGACATTTAACAGCAATTGCAACAGCCCACTACTCACCATTTGTTTTGTATATGAATGACTATTGTAATGTTATGCAGACCTGCCAACCAGTACGATTTAGTCGTATTTAGTACGATTTTTAGAAACAAATACGACAGTACGATTTTCCTCAATAAAATATGATTTTCAAAAAAAAAAAAAAAAAGATTTTTTTTTAAAATAATTTTTGTTGTTGTTGGGTATTTTGTATGTGTGTGTGCCATTTTCAATGGCAAAATGCCCATTCTGTCCTATAAAGCATCTCACATCGGCAATTTGGGGATGTTCATTGGTTCATCGAACACACCAGTCGTGACAAAATCATGCATATATTCAACCAATGATCCATAAAAAAATTCTTCCTGTATGTAGGAACTGTAAGAGGCATTGATCCGCGTAACAGTCCGTGTTTATTTTTAAGAATACAACTTTTGTCAGCAAAATACAACTTTTGGTATTAAAGAATACAGTTTTTGAACTCAGAGGTTGGCAGGTCTGGTTATGTTAGATAAAAATAGTGAATATGAGTGTAGCGAATTGGCCTTTAAATAAAAGTTATGTAACATTATTCATTCATGCACATTCAGTGCACTCCATGATACACAGGTGGAAGTATTCTTTGAAAAGGGGAAACAAAGGCTACTTATATAGCACCTCCACCGCTGTAGGAGTGATTATTTCAAAATGTACAAAGTGGGACCTCTTCATGTTTTTAAGATCTGTGGATATTCGGGGTCATTGCAGTAATGTGCTAACCGTGAACTGGTCTACTGTTCATGTTTGTCCACAGATCATGGGACAAGCACAGATATGTTCTGTCACATGATGCCTTTCTACAGCTATGATGTACCTCATACCTGTGGACCAGACCCTAAGGTCTGTTGTCAGTTTGACTTCAAGAGACTGCCAGGAGGGCGGATCAACTGCCCTTGGAAGATTGCTCCCGTACCCATCACTGATGCTAACGTGGCAAGCAAGTGAGTAGTCAAACCTAGTTAACCGAGTTAAAGATGAGTATGTGGGAAGGATTTGTTTGGTAATATACGGAACAAAAGTTAATAGAAGTACCATCTATCCATTTGTTTACCTCAAAGAGATCATTCTCATTATATCCTGTATTAGAGAAAAACATTTTTGTTTTGTTTAGACCACCTGTATGAAAACTCCTTTTCTGGGTTCCCATGAACAGTCTTTTTATCCTAAATGGACTAATTTTCAACACCTATTGTAAGCACTCCTCTATGGAACTATGTGTGCAGTATAAACACTATCTAAAGTTATTGAATTTGATCACAACAGGCACTGGAGTTAAAAAGGTGAATTAACCACCCCCGCCCCTATCTCACTGAAACAAAAATTATGTTGTGGTGATGTGTTCATAAGGTGATTTTAGCAATTTTGACCAGCCAATGAGTTAAGTGTAGGTAAATGCTATAGAAATGTTGAGTGTAAGTGATTTACTGACTGGTAATTATCAAATCAGTAAAGTGATTGAATTCTATATGGTATCTAAGGGGCCTCCAAACAGACATATAGATGTGAATCCACCCTGTATTATGATTCACAATACATCAAATGTAATTGAGTTCTCTTGTGTTCATCTGCCTTTCAGGGCTGAAATTCTTTTGGACCAGTACAGAAAGAAGTCCGAGCTGTACAAGAGCAACGTTCTGTTGATCCAGCTGGGAGATGATTTTAGGTATGACAAACCGGAAGAATGGGACAACCAGTATAAGAACTACATGAAGCTCTTTGAGTACATGAACAAGAGAACCGACTGGCACGTACAGGTAAGATTGGCAGAATTCTGAATACCGCAATTAACGGTGTATAAACCGCCCTCGTGTATTAACCGCACCCCTCTTTTTCGCCCTCTGTCGGCAGCAAGCCAGGTCCGTGTTAAAAAACCCACGCGGGAAGGCCTTTCATTTAAATGCGAGGTGCAGCTGAATGTGTAAGATCATTAATGTAAATTTAAAAAACAGAAGAGGACCTAGGATAGAACCTTGTGGTACGCCGTGTAATAGAAGAAAAATTGGAGGAATTATTATTATAAACTGCATATTGAGATCTATCAGAAAGATTACTTTCAAACCAAGACGGCAGACAAATTTGAGTATTGTTCTAGTTTCCGAGTGGTGAGTCAACATACCGATTACTGAGCTGGGAGAAATTGCCAGGCATAGCGCCAGGTGGAGGGGAATAAAGTGAAACTTTAGAAAATATTTTTTTTCGGCGGCAAAAAGGTGCGGATTATACACCGTTAATTACGGTAGTAAGATGAGAAATTTTCATGTTACGTTCTTGATCAGTTGGTGTGACAAATGTTTCAAGCTGTTCCTGTCATGGTACATGTACTACAAACCATATGAGAGAAGTATGTATGCTTCAGGTACTAACTGTATTATTGCTATGCAGGTACAGTAAAACCTGTCCATAAAGACCACCCAAGGGAGACAAGAAAAGTGGCCTTTATAGGCAGGTGGTATTTACGAACAGGTTCCTTTAGTACATGTATCAATGAGAAACCATTTTCAAGGGAAACAAAAAATGTGGTCTTTGTAGACAGGTGATCTTTCTATACAGGTGGTCGCTAAAGCAGGTTTGACTGCACTAATTGTATCGCTATATTAGGTGTTTAGAGTTACTTACGCTCACTCTGGTATTTCTGTGCTATATGATACAAAATGGCGTCCACTACAACACAGGTGAACGAGGCTATATATATGCCGATCACCGCTAAAAGCACCAACATGCAATAATAAATGCAAATAATTGATGTGCTAATATTTACCCTAGCCAAATTTTTCACTTTTACAGTCCGCTGTAAAGTGTTGACATAGTGGAGCACATACTACAAGTAGGCCTTTTATTCTGTACATGTGAACTGACTATCGTTCTATTGACTTATAGTATTCCACTCTACCCTTCACTTGTGAGTGATGGGACAGGGGCCAGGGTTATATACCGGAATGGGATTTATAACCTTGTAGAAAACTACCCTTGAAACATGTGTCTTCTCCTTCCCATTCTCTTGCCTATGACTACACTATATACATGTAGCAAGGGGGCACTCTTTCAGTGTGAGTGGGATTTCTGTATTTTTGTAATATATTTTTTAAATCTAGGGGTACCTGCTTGCCAGGAAGTCAACCACCTATGCCTTCAGTGCTTTTCTTGATGTTTTATCCATACAATTATGTGCATCCCTAGGCCCAGTTTGGCACTCTGACTGACTACTTCACCTCCCTGTGGCAGCATACCAACACAATGGCCGGCCAGCAACCTGAGGGCTACCCTACCCTCAGCGGAGACTTCTTTACCTACACTGACCGGGATGACCACTACTGGAGTGGCTACTACACCTCCAGACCGTTCTATAAGAACATGGATAGGGCCCTGGAGGGTCAACTCAGGTACACCCTCTCGTAGCTATCATTATGGACTAGGACTTTTTTCATGGAGGTCTGGGTTATTCAATATGAACACGTCTATTCATTTTACTTTTTTCTAGAAATATTGTTTTGGTTATTAAAGTGTGCAAATAGAAATATGTTCTAGTGGATATTGACAAAGGGACAGTTTGGTGTATATTGTCATAGATGTATATTAATTTTGAATCAGTTACACCACCAAACCGACTCCAGCCAACTCCAAATCAACCGATTCTTGGCCATTCAGGCAGGCCAGGGTAATGTAGTTTTTTCATTGGTCTGTTTTGGGTCAGGTGTTGGTCTCTTTGGTGTGATTAAGGTATAAGGGACAAAGAAGAAAGAAATAATGCCTTCCCCAATGATATGAACTCAAAAACATGTTTTATTTCTTTGTCTCAATTAGACCTAGCCCTCTGTTCTTACTGCTGAATTACATGTATTTTACTTCTAAGCAATGTATTATTACCAAAGGTTACATTACATGACCAATTTTTATGCGTTTAATTTGCAGGGCTGCAGAGATAATGTTCACATATACCAATGCCCAAGCAAAGCAGAGCGGAACCACTAGTTACCCCTCTGAGAGTCTGGTTGGAATGTTAACCAATGCCAGGAGACAGCTAGGATTGTTCCAACATCACGATGGAATCACAGGCACAGCCAAGGATCACGTCGTTGTTGATTATGGAAACAGGTCAGGTTCTTGACTGCTTACCTTTTAAGGCTTGTTCGCATATGCTGTAGTTTACTGTTTTTGTTTGTTAACCCGTTGTTTACTTGAACCAAATGGTTCCTGCCCCGGCCCCCCCCCCACTCAGTGTTATTTAGGGTACGCATATGCATGTTCCCTCCTTTTGAAAACACCCCCTAAGTCCGGTGTGTAAAGTCAATTTTGTGTATGTACAAGCCGGACTTTGGTGCGTGAAAAGTACCCCTTTACTGGACATTTTGGTAACACGCATGCGGTCATTCCGACCCCGGAGTGGGGGGGGGGCCGGGGTTCCTGCATTAGGTCCATGAGAATAGGAGAATTCAGCAGTCAACATGTTAAGGTGCTGCGCTCCACATTTTTGTATCTAATTGCACGTAGATACATGTAAGTGACTATTCCTCGGATCTCAAAAAAAATTGATCTTTGAACAGAAATATTCCAAAAGCTTCATATTGATGTAGTGCCATTGTGGAAAGCCATGAAATAATTACACATACCAGTATATGGTAAGTGAGTATTTCTAGGACCTATGTTGTAGGCAGCTACGTTTTTCGTCCCTCTAGCCATTCGTTTAGTACACAAAAAACATGGCCTATGTGAATGAGTCTTAAGAATCACATTCACCTAACAATCTAAAAAGAATTATAAATGATAAACTTGCCACCTGTGAACTGAAATTTAAAACTACAGAAGTGACAATGATACTCTTATGAGATAAATTATGAAAGAATTTTAATACAGCCGGCCTCTTGCAGCTTTTTTGCCACCACTAGCAAAACTGACCTAATCAGCATTCAATTCAGAAAATCCCTACCCAGATTGATACACCTGGGAAAAGTCCTGAATGAAGAAGAAGTTCGGAATTCTGTATTACACTTGACACTTATCTGTATATCTTTACCCTTATATAATTCTTTGTTTTCTCTTTCTCTTTTTAGAATGCTTAATGCGATTAATGAGATGCGTAAAGTTATGATGACTAGCATTCATTATCTACTGAGTCCAGACAAAAAGAGCTATCACCCACAGGCTTCATACTTCGATGTGGTAAGTAAGAAAAACTTGATCTGTGAACCGAAATTTTCCAAGCTTCATATTGATGTAGTGCCTTTAGAAAGCTATGATATAATTACACATCATTCTGTTTGAACTTCTTGATATTTTTAACAGAAAGATGTGTATGTAGAACTGGGCTTAAAGGCAGGGTATTTTGCAGACATCGCTACTACTTCTGTAATGTATTTTCAATTGTGCCATGTTACGGTGAAGGCGTACATGGAGCAATCTGCAGTTTCTGTATGCAAGCATCCTCACGCTTGCACCATCAGTTGGTGATGCATTGTGAGCAGCAGATGGCAGTATACGTAAATCTGAAGTAGTGTCAATAGAATACCCTGTCTTTAAAGAAGTATGATACAGGCCTGATAATTACGCAATTTAAATCAATTTTCCAGGTTTTTGATTTTTTAAATTTTGATTCCTCCCCCCCCCCCCCCCCCCCCCCCCCCCCCCCGATTTTTACCCCTATTTTCCAAATTGTCCCCTATTTTTTCCCAATTTTCTTACTCAAAAGGGTGAAATGTTCTAAGATGCCCTTTTTTTTTTTTTACTCAAGGGGGGGGGGGGGGGGGGGTGGTTGCTCACTATCACCCCTGAAGATAATTTGATGCCATCAAAAAAATGTTATTATCTTATTGTGATCAGAACTAGGTACATAACCAATGTAAGTAGATATTTGGCTATGTTTACTGGGCTGGAAACTTTATAATATTATTCTTGTATTATTTTATTTTCAGGATGAAGAAAGGCAGTCACATGACGCAATGCCCACAAAGAAAGTACTCAAGCTTTCAAGTGAAGCTCACAGGTATAGAACTAAAATGTTAAATTATTGATGTATTTGTAAAGTGAATCTGTCATACCGGTATATATGGGATCTTGAACATAGACACCATGTGCATGTGCAATTGAGTGTACATTCAGTAAATGGTGTCAACAGGTGTAATATAAGGGGACTACTAATTTTCCTATTCAAGACATTCAAGGTTAGAAAACTTCTCTTATAGTAATTAATACAAACAATAAGTAAATTTGAATTGGAGCATTAAAGGTAATACAAAGTTTTGGGAAATTTTGATAATTGGGTGAATAGTGATTCTTTACAATTTCAATATATTTGGATGACCCTGTGGTCGTATTATAAGCACTAGAAAATTTAGCCCCTAAAACACTACTGCTTTCGAGAAAAATTGAATATAAAAATTTACCGGTGCTCCCTGTAAATTTTGATAAATTTCAAATAGCGCCTACGGCCGTACAATGGTAGCTGCGACCATGAAAATTTCAGAATATGTAGTTGTGATATATAATTTTCAAACGGGAATAGCTAATTGGTTGAGTCTACTCGAGAAACATTGTTGTATAGCTTAATTAATATCTTGACCTTGAGATGGAGCTATACAACATAAAGAGCTTATTATTTACAATTTCATGACTTTAGACCCAATTTCAACCGCGACAACGATCAATGAATATTGTAGGATGGCATATGCTTCCATTATATTCATTTGAACCAAATTCATGACCCCATACCAAAACTTTGTATTACCTTTAACGAATGTCTAACACTTGACTGGAGAAATATGGTGTGTAATGGTTAATGTAGCATGTGATTTTAAATACACATTAGATCAATGAGAAATGAACAGATCCTTGAGAAAGGTATAGAATTGTAAGTGATGAAATCATAAATGTGCATTCTTTTATTATCTATGTTTCTGTAGTGTTGTAGTGTTCTACAACTCGTTAGCTCAGCATAGGAAAGAACTGGTCAGGCTGCATGTATCATCACCAAACGTTGTAGTCACAGACTCGGATGGAAATGCCATTGAAAGTCAGGCTAACATCCTGTGGGAGACTGCAGAGCATAGCTTCTCAGGAACATATGAGGTAAGGAAAATATAGTTACCTTGCAAATTTGAAAAAGAAAACAATAACAAACAAACAAACAAATTATAAAACCTAATTATGTAAATTGTTTTTGTTCAGTCATTATTGAGAATTAAGGGTTAGGGATGGGAATCAGTACAGGCATTGAAAAGGGGGAAGCCAACAGGGAAGTCTAATCAAAGAACCAGAATCCCAAGAGCATTCTAAAGAGAAAATATAAAAATGTGAAAAAGAGCAATGAATTTTTGTTGTTGAAAAGGCTGCAATGGAGCCAGGATACAATTAGAAAACAACAACAACTACAACAATAACACCAAATACAGGGGGCTGATGATATAGACATGATGGATTTAGGAAACATAAGATTCAAAGTTGATTTTAATGCAATACTGGTATTTCTGAAGTAATTTGAAAATGGTTTAAGACATTCACAGGCAATAGATGATACACTGTGCAATATTTTCTTCAAAACAATACCTTTCTAGTGTAAAAGTCAATCTTCTTCCTCTCTCTTTCTCAGCTTGTATTTGTTGTAGAGATAGGCCCATTGACTGTGAGTAAATACCTGATTCGTGATATGGGTTCTAGCTTCTCTCAGCATCATCATTTATCTACAACAGAGCTTTATCATGGTTCGAAGGAAGAGGATGGTAACAAGTAAGTTTACAAACCTAGATTCATCCTCTATAAGGACTATCATGAACTCACAAACTACTTTTAGCCCAGCCGAATGCATCGTATATCAACTTCATTCTAATACTAATTGGCTAACAGAAAGACAATAGAAGACGCAATCGCTTTCTTATTGGTACATATGTTTGATTGCAACGTGATGCAGTATTCACTGGAATTGTGGACACTGATTTACATTTTGTTCAATTTAATCTATCCATAGTCATTCATTTTTTAGGCTTGTTTAAATCCCAAGTATTTCCAAATTGTTTTATTTTGAGCGTCTCAAATTTCTTTGGGTGGTATTCTCGAAAGCGGCCTAAGTTAAATCAGTGGCCTAAACCTGGTTTAAACCATGGACTATCTTTTTTGCTATTCTCGAAGGTGGCCTAAAGATAAGCCAGGCTTAAATACGTCATAGTTCGGCCTAACTTTAGGCCGCTCAGAGGGCAGGTTTAAATACGTCATAGTTCGGCCTAACTTCGCGTGACGTCACTTTTTAGTTAAATCGACTGTCCGCGGAGAGTGAACGGTAAGTTTTGCATTTGAATTTCTATATTTGAAAACAATTTACACTCTTTTGTATGGATAAGCGCTCATGAAAGTTACACCAGCTAATAAAGTATTGTTGTTACTTTCATGTTGCTGTACTGGTGATAATCTAAAATGCTTTTAACTGAATAAATTTGGGGAAAACTTGGTAAATGTTCACAGTGTTGCAGACCAGTCCCATACGTGCAAATAATTGTCGGTTAACATTTTCGTTTCCTGAGATTGAGCAATTTCTTACCGGGTAATTTTTTTCTTGGCACTATTGTACTTTCGTACGCATATACCACCTTAACACCAACTTAAAACTATCATTGCTAGACGTAGAAACTACTGTTATAGTGAATTTTCGAGACGCTGTTGCCTAAAAGTGGACTAGCACTAAGCCTAAATTTAGATCTAGCTGTCTCTTTCGTTCGTTAGCCTCTGAGTCTGATTTGGGTAGGGTCGGCTCCTCTTTTTCAGCCGACCCTACCCAAATCAGAGGCTAACGAACGAAAGAGACAGACATTTCGGTCTGGTATCACCTCTGCCTGAGCTGCAGTGCTAGTTGTGGCTGTTGGTGTGATAATTTTCTACAGGATGATGATGATTTTCATAACCAAACACCCCCCCCCCCTCCCCCAAGAAAAACATTTTTTTAAACAATATTACTAGACCTAGATCTAAATTTCATCAATAAGAGTCTAGTCTAGACAGGTCTATTAATAGAAATTGAAAGGAAATGGACAGAAGCTTCCTTTTTTGACATACATTTGCTGATAATGTTACAGTAGTTTAGTCTAATAATACTATTAGGCCCAGTTAGTAAACTACAGAGAAAGAGAAATTGTAATTTCTTATCAAATATCAACATAATTAATTAATTTTCATCTTGATTTTCTGCTATTTCAGGTTCTTTTCAATTGATGCATGGGGATGAAAAAAGAAGGCCTCTCCCAAGCTACGGTGTCCCGCCTTGTGAAGTCCATTTCAATAGCCATTGCCAGGAGATCGGACCAATACATCTCAATTCCTTCAACAAGAGAGGCAGTCCTGCAGAGTGCAGACCCAACATGAATTTTATAATTACTGCCATTTCCCTGGCGTTAATATGGTCGGTGCTATTGATTGCACCCACATAGGCGTCTTCAAGCCAGTTGGCCCAACACCAGTTATTTCCTGAACAGGAAAAATAGATACTCCATTTTTCTTGGAAAGTCTGCTGGTGAGTAAAGCTGTAATTACTCCTAAATTTTGTAAATTAAATCATGTTTATACAATTTTTATTAAAAAGATCTGCTGATTTCATGAATCTGCAGATGTGTCTACAGGTACATTATGAAGTGATTTAAAATTGTTTTGTCTGATGAATGTAGGTGCAAACTACACTCAAACTTTTATTCATTTTACATCGGCACGAGCTAATATTTTCAGCTCGATTGCCATGGCTACCAGTCACTCCTGACAATGACAGCTTGGCCTAGACTTTTGGGCGGATATATCTCTGAAAATAAGACACAAATAATCAACAGTTGATTAACTACTTTCAAATTTGGGCCAGAAGAAAATTCAAACCTACCACTAACAATTCTAGACCATATAAGACTTAACGACCTACAGACTGCAGTACAGTACAGTGCAGTAAATTTTCATTTTACTTTTTCCCCTTTCACGAAGCTCATTTTGGGAGATAACATAAACAATAAGACAATCTTTGGTCTAATGTTAGATTGAACTAAAATGAAAAAGTTGGGCTCTAACGATTAGGGCCTTGTAAAATCTACAACCCAGGCTGCGTTTACATCTAGGTTAGGTCAACTGTCCGCTGGTTATCTAAAGTATTAAAGATGTAGACCTCTAGACTTGATTTTAGGAAAGGGACTAACTTGGCTATAGACTTTAACTACTTAGGGCTTTCTTAGGCCATGACATGGCAAGTACAACTGGGTGCAAGCACATTTATGAGATAGTACTGCAAGAATGTGTATGTTTGTTCTTGACTTTAAAAGAGATACCTGTAGTCATTCTGTAAATCAATGATTACTAGTAACTGAGTGGGGAGGGGGTGCCTAGTCACTGCCTACATGAAAGGCGCCTTATTTATTTTTTTAAAGTTAGAATATGATTGACACTATAACTAAGACCAATTATCAATGGAGTAGATCTTTGATATTTTAATGAGGTCTAAACCTTTTTATTTTTGTTTCAGGATGATGTTCTTCTTCAGTAAACTAAATGAAGGCAAATTCCCTGATAATTGAGACAAATTCAGAGAGAGGAAGGAGAACTACTGAGCTGCTGAATTTCTGACAGGTAGGCTGTACGAATAAGTTGTTGTTTGTATGCCCAGGTACTTTAAGGAGGGCATTTGTTCATTCACATTTTTCCATCAATACTTTCAAGTAAATGATTATGCACTCCACTTTTACCACAATGTGCATGTAAGTCCACTTTGGTCACAATGTACATGCAAGACCTTTTTAATGTTTAACAGAAATAGGTTTCAATGTGCTTCCTTTCATTTTGTTTCTCTTTTTATTCAACAGACATACTTGCAAGGACTATGAAGTTCTACTTAGCCTCTTCAATGAACCAGACTCTATCTGCTGTAACTGTGACTGCATGGAGATCAAAACCTTTGTATTATGATCTTCATAACATGAAGCTATGGTAACAAACAAGCAACCATTGATAAAAAGCCTGATATGTCCTTGTTGTGTGTGTGAACCCCAAAGCAACCATCACTCATAAGGATGTTTTTATGTACATCAGATGTTCATTGTTTCACTGGAAAAATTGTGATTTTTGAGTCATTTAAGAAATCATGTTTTATAATGTGTTTTATAATATAGTGCAAGTCATGATATAACAGATTCCCTGCAAAAGAAAGACGGCTCAAAAGTAGACTATGCTTTGTTTTTAAAAAATGGGAAAAAGTAATGTAACAAATACATAACTTTGAATTCTAATAATTTCAAGTAGCATATTATGAGGCTATTGGAGCTTAATATTTGACCTTCAATTTTATAATCGTATTCATCTTGAATTACAATCTTTTCTGTTTTAAGAAAAATAAATAAATTGAACATAATTGTTGATATGTTATATACAATATTTCTTTCATATCTTTTGATTTTAAGTGTGCATACTGATGGGTTCATTGAATTATACATGGAAAAAGTCTTGAAATAGAACAGTGAGAGAACACAGAGCGAGCGAGAGAGAGAGATAGAGTAAAAGAAAAAGGGAACCAAATGAGAAAGAACAATTTAATGGTGAGAGAAATAAAACAATGATGTGAGATAGTGTGTGTGTGAAAGAGAGAGAGAGAGAGAGAGAGAGATGGAGATAGGAAGAAAGAGTTGGGGGGGGGGGGGGTACAGTGCCCCTTTTTCAAATGCCCCTTTTTTTATATAGCAAAGTTCCCTTTTAACTTTGTAAGAAGTGCCCCTTTTTCCATAGGAAAAGTGCCCCTTCCCCTTTTCAGCTCTGATAAGTGCCCCTTTAATTTTGACATACCCCTTTTCCTTTGACAAGTTTCCATTTTCCTTTGCAATAAGTGCCCCTTTTCACTTTTGAGAAGTGCCCTTCACCTCTGATAATTGCCCTATTTAAATTTGAGAGGTGCCCCTATTAACACAATTATCGGTGCCCCTTTTCCTTCAACAAATGCACATTTCCTTTATTATAAGTGCCTCTTTTTCATTATCATAAGTGCCCCTATTAAAATATGTTCAATGCCCCTTTTCAGGTGTGATATGTGACCCTTTTCACCTCTGATAATTGTCCTTTTAACTACGATACAATTCCAGCAAGTGCCCTTTTTGTTATTGCTGCCCCCCCCGCTTTGGAAGTCGCTCCGCGCCCCTGGACGTCATATTGCTCAAGTTGTCAAGGTGATGCATCCTCTCCATACTGCGCGCATCCATTGTCTTAGCCCATTGTCTTAGTGCATTGTGACGTCATATTGCTCAAGTTGTCGAGGTGATGCATCCTCTCCACACTGCGCGCATCCATTGTCTTAGTGCATTGTGACGTCGCAGCTCTGGTACTGAGCATGTGCAGAATCCGTAACCATGGTGAATAATCCATGGACTAAGTTAGGCCAGGTTTAAACCATGGATCAGTTAGGCCACCTTTCGAGAAATGAAAATGACTTAGGTCAGCGGCCTAAGTTAAGCCTGGCCTAACTAAACCACGGTTTAACTTAGGCCAGGTTTAACTTAGGCCGCTTTCGAGAATACCACCCTTTAAGTTGAAAGGGAATTGATTAATTCAGCAAACATTTTGTTTTACTAAAAAGGTTAAAATTGCTGTTGGTAAATGAGAAGTGATAGCACCATAAAAATATGATCCTATATACAGTGAAATGCATTTATTTATATGTAAGTCATGAATCGTTTTGTACATTCGTTATGTGACTAAGTGATACTTATTTGAATAACGTCTGTTTATCATTTGCAGTGGTCCATTTAAAGTGAGAACCACGACTGACGACCTGGAAGAGATCAAACTTGAGAATTCTCATATGGATGTTTTATTTGATGGAAAAAAGGGCATGTTGAAGGTAAGATCTTCTTCTCTCTTTCTATGCATGTACAATGACTGTAGGTGAAACCTGCTTTCGCAACCATCAGTCTGTGAAGATCACATTTTGTATTTCCTTTGAAGTGTTTCTCATTTAAACATGTAAATGAACCTGTACATAAGGAACATCTGCCTATAAAGATTGTGTTCTTTAAGCAGTCTTTGTATACAGGTTTCACTTTATTAAGATTTGTAGGACAATATATTACTTTAAATATCTAGTCATTTAATAAATGTAACTTATAATGGATTGTGAGCTTGTAACTAAGTTGTAAGATATATAACCTTTAGAGGGCAAAGTTGTAGATATTTGCATTTATTGCAATTATGTACAATTTGTTTCTTAAATTCAGCTCATTACAAGATTTGGCTTGAGTATAACGAGATGGGGTAAGATAGTTTCCACACTGAATGCTGGAAGGAAAGAAAATAAGAATGATTTTGAGAAGAAAATAATTTTGAACTCCTTCATCAATCACTTTAGTCACTCTACTAACTTGCCATGTCAACTTTGTGATCTTCCCACAGTCAATCTTAACGAAAACAGACAACCACAACATCAGGACAAACGTAGAAATTGAATTTGTGACGTACGGCACAGGGAGAGATAAGACGAAGAGTGGTGCCTATCTATTCATGCCAGATGGTGATGCTCATGTAAGTTACAGAATTATAAGCCCTCCGCACATTGTACGATCCTCCTTTCTGATTTTCGAAAAATGGCAATTGTATTTTGGAAATCTAAAGAAATATAATCTTCCTAATTTAGGCTCTAAAGAATGATAAGAATACTAACAATTGAAATTTTAGTGCATTTAATTCTTATAGTCAGAAGAAAGCTCAATCAACAATCAGCTTCAAATTGTAGACATTTGTACTACTGGTCTGACGTCACTACAATTCTTTTCCTCCAGGGAAATATGAAATCCCATGAACTTTATATTTCATTATTATCAAATAACTAATTCAGACCCTTGGTTATTCATATTTTATATTTTTGAATGTACCTATTAAATGCTATCGCAAATTCTTCTGAAAATGGATTGTAATCAGATCATTTAGTCTGCAGTGGGCTGTACTCCTAGATGAATGATCACAAGTACATCAAAGTACAAAAATCAAATGAGAAAAAGAAATATGTGATCTGATTGGTTGAAAGTTCATTTGTGTTTAATTTGGGGATTTTCTCTTTAAATGAGAACTTGCTATGCAAGAGGTCATAGAGCATTAACAATGGAGTTGTCTGCCTAACTTACTGTCTGTTTGTGATTATTCAAGACTTTCTATTACATTATTAACAGCAAAGGGTGTTGTGAAAGAACTTAATATGGATATATTCAGGCATCAAATATACCTTGCCGGCTTGAATGTTGTGTCATAGGGTTATGTATGTGGACACTTGTCCACATACTTATACCTTTCACTGTTTTTAAATTAATTTTGTGAAATTAATGCAAGGTGAATTTGTGGAAAACAAACATTAATTGTTTTATTATACATTTGTGTTTTTGGCTTTGATGTTGCAATTATCAATATCCTATTTAAACTTCAATCTGAAAATTGTTTCACATCAAAAATTCAGCACAGTGCATATTATTGTTATTGTGAATACAAACATCAAAAGATTAAAGCTGCAAGCCAGTGAATTCATCTTTTGTAATTGTTGAGTTTGTTTGATTTTGTTTGTATCTGTTTAAAAAAAAAAAACTTTTGTAGCCTCTTGACCCGCCATCCCAAATTCCTATCCGAGTGACGAGAGGCCCTCTAGAGTCCCACGTAGATGTCATACTCTACTGTGTCAGGCATACAGTTATTTTATCAAATACACCAGGTAGGTATACTGCCTTAAAGGTACTATGTCCCTTTTGCAGCCAACCTCAAATGCTGTAGAACTTTGCAGGAATTATGAATATGTCATGTATGTCCTATCTGTGAAATTTAAACGTTAGCAGTGTCCTCGTATTCAAATTATGCAAGGAAACCCGTTTACTTGCTAGACTTCACTGTCAGACACTATTGGGTGACTGACTGGCTTTTTTTCTTCTTTGGTTTGGTAACATACATGAAAAGAGTTGTAAAGGGTACATGAGCATTTGTCTATACATCAATAACCAACTTCTTGGCCAAGATTAAACTGATTGAATCTTTGCGCAGCATAAAACGTATGACCATTCGGTACAAATGTCTGAAAATCAAGACTATTACTTTTGGGCTCTATAGCCCTAAAGTCGATTTGACAACTAATAGTCATTATTTTCCCACTTGAAGACATTTTCAAGCCCCACCTTTTTTAGGGAAGTTCTAAATCAGTATTATCTTTCAAATGCAGTTGGAATTTAAATTTTTCATTTTTTTGGCCTGCAAATGGGACATAGTACCTTTAAGTAATTTCTATATTTTTAATATTACTTGTTATATACCTCTCTTTACAAATCTAGCCATCTGATTGGTCGAAATTGGAGTCATGATTTTAGCCATTCCCGTAAAGAAACAAACAATGCCAGTAACGGTAGATAGTTCATGAGTGAGATTCCCGAAAGATTCCGGGTACCGGGAAAATAGTAAACTCTTGATAAGATCCCCATTGGTTTACATGTTAAAACTTACTTTGTGCGAGCGCGGATACCATACAGTGCTTTTTGTCTGTGATTCCCAAATGATTGCAACATTCAGTCATATTTCCAGCGAAGACTAACAGACAGTGTCTCAGATTTTCTGTGATGTTTTAACCAGTCCTTACTTCAGAAAAAGATAAGGTAAGAATTTTTTGTAGATATTTTTGTTAATTCGGTATATAAAAGATAAAAAAGACTGCTCATTACCTATATCTATAATATTGTTTGTAGGAAAAAAGTTTTATTGACTAAGGGTAATTTATTGCTCTCTGTAGGATTTAATACTTATAACTGATGTAAACTTGTCATTTCATTGTTGCCTGACATCACATGTGTCCATAAAAATCTTGTGCTTTTCATATAAATATTCTTCTTGGTGTTGGCTATTCATTACATATATCAATACATGTGGATTCATATTACAGTTGACACAGGTACTATTTCAGCATCATGGAATTCTGATTGGTTTAGAGAGATGTAGGTCATGGCACAAGTGAGGTATCTCTGATTGACAGGTTGTAAATTACACAGGACATAGGTTTGTGAAATTTACATCTCGGCTATGTATCAACTGTGAAATTTACACCTGGGATATGTATCACCTGTGAAATTTACACTTAAGCTATGTATAAACTGAAATTTACACCTGGGATATGTATCAACTGTGAAATGTACACTTCAGCTATGTATAAACTGAAATTACACCTTGGCTATGTATCAACTGCTAAATTTACAACATGGAGTTTCTGGAATGCACATGTGCATGGTGCGAGGGGGGGGGGGGTGAACTTTGCCAAAATTGGTAAACAAGGAGGAATGTGCAATTTACATAGTAAAGGGTAAGCCAAGAAAATAACATGTTGCAGACTTTTGCACTGGGGATGCTAAAGCAGGATGGTAGGTCAATTTAAATTTGACTGCCATTTTGTATACAGTATAAACATTAATGCATGCTGGAGAAAAGGGCACATTCATCTGGTAGAGTTGCAGTTTGATAGTTCAATAGCATTTTATCTGATGCTATTTTCAATAGAGATGTTTGGTTGAAGGTAATTTTATAGAGTTTTAAAAGGAGATAAAAAATAAAAAAGAATTTGCATGTTGAATGTAAGACCCCTGTTACAGTGAGCAAAAGGCCGGGCCAGGCCGCGGCCTGACCTCGCACTGTAACAGGGCAAAAGGCCAAATGCGAGGTCAAACTGGCCGCGCATTTGGCCCTGCTCTGGAGGTAGTCTCGGCCGCGACCTGGCCCTGCAATTTCTCACTGTAAACGCAAATGAAATGTTGATATTTTTCTATCTGCAGGTGCTGATGGAACAGCTCTATCCATTAAAAATATCTTGGATATCAGGAATATGCAGAATAAAGAGCTGGTGATGAGAATAAAATCAGACGTGAGAAACTCTGATCGTGTCTTTTACACAGATCTCAATGGATTTCAGGTTAGTTTTCTCAATATTGATCTGAGAGTTTTAAAGTGTACCAATCACCAAAAATGTTTTGCTCTTGATACAAGGGACTCCTTGTCCCTATACTGTAGGCAAACTATGAGCTTCAAATATTACTTTTATAAAGACATATTGCAATTTAGAAACATTATCAGTGAACAGTTAAATGTCTTGTTGGATAGACTGGTTTGGTTAACGCCCTCACATAGACTAAATTAATAAAATGGTTATCAATGAAATTTTCCTTTTTTTTCTCCTTCTTTTTCTTACTTGTAATGTATGGAGCAATGAATGGCATGCAACTGTTTATGACCTATTAGCGCATCATTATATAGCTGTATCAAATGTAAATCATGACTACTGTACATATTCTTCTCTTCCTATCTTTTACAATCATCATAGATGCAAAAAAGGAAAATCTTAGACAAGCTACCTCTTCAAGCCCATTTTTACCCCATGCCAGCTATGGCTTATATAGAAGATAGCTCAACAAGGCTTACCTTACATTCAGCACAGCCTCTAGGAGTGAGTGGTTTGAAAGAAGGTAAGAAAAAAAAGAGGTTTATTGCGGGGGAGGGGGGTGTTGAGTTAATTTTTTGATATTTTGTTAACGATTTTATTTTTAGTGCTCACTAACCCCTTCCTCCCCCCCCCCCCTTGAGAAAAGCAAAAAGGTGGTGGTGTGAGACACTCTCCAAATGAGGGTTGATAGCACTGTGTTATGCAATTTTGATTCTGAATAATTAAAGCATATTTGTTCATTGATTATTTATCTCATCACTTCATGTTTTTTTTTCATTCACTGCACTTTGAATCACATTATCAAATTAAACTGGCTCTTTATTTAAAAACAAATGTCCTATTTTGGCTTACTATTTTATTGAATATGAAAAATAGCAAATCCACTTTTTGGAATAATTTGATAATGTAGATGCTGGATTGAATCTCAATAACACCTCTATGTAGGCATGCATGTGACTATGTAAGCAACTTAAATCACATTTTGCATTGATTTCACCTAATTCCATTCTTTCTTTGCGCAGGGTGGCTTGAGGTAGTGCTTGACCGTCGACTCATGCAGGATGACTCAAGGGGACTCCAGCAAGGGGTCACAGACAACAAGCTGACCCCGGACTACTTCCTCTTACAGGTAGAGAGGAGACACATGGGCAATACTCAGGTTAGGAATATACCATTCTCACTCTGGGGAATGCTGGGAGGATATAAGGTGAGGGGATGTTTGCTTGTGTCCATTGTGGAAGCACCATGACCCCTACTAATAATGGAATGCACCGCTGCAAGTTTCCCTTATTGAAGGTGGTTTTGCATGATTTCCCTTCAACTCACCTGTTGTTCCTCATTGGTTTACCATTTTTTTTTTTCTTCCATTTTTTTTTTTTTTGTGTGTGTGTGCATATTCTTTTGTCCTTCCTTTGTTTTTAATCTCCGAAATTTCAATTTATATTTTTATCTCTTGATCAATACCAATTTATACACCATTTATGCACAGGCATGAGATGTAGCTTGCTGATTGATGCCTGCAGAGAGAAAAATGAAGATTAAATTGCCGTTTTAGAGCAGAATTTTTGTTTGACATGTGGAGACCAAAATTTATTTGCCACAGATTTATTGATTATTTTCTAGATGTTTGATGCCTGTAAAAATCTTTTGCATGTTATCATAGCATGTTTTATCATTAAAAATGCTTAGAATTTTCCTCATAGTGTGCAGTTGTGCTGACTGAATTGCAACTTGCATTAGAGTTCACTACTCACTGTAACATAAAGGCCTGTCCCTGATTTGAATTTATATAGATGTCTTGATCAAATTCTGGATGTCTCATACATGTATGTGTCTGTCTAGATTCCATACATGTACTGTAATCGTAGACTTCTTTAGTAAGACTTGGAATTTCTCTTGGTATTAGCACATTTTGAAGTAGGCACTTAAGTTTATGATCTTTAAAAAAAAAGAAAATCATCTTTGTTGTTTATTCTTTGTATGGTAGTTTATCTCAGTATGCGTACATGAGAGAAGAGAACTGTTTTGTCTTCATGTTCCATTTTGCGTACTTGAATTAGTTATTATTTAATGAGATGATACCAGCCGTGCTAGTTCTCAGATAATCAGGACTCAATAGACTTTTCTTTGGGTGTAGGAAGATATTCATTGTTTGCTATTTAGCATTGCTGGTAAACGATGTGCATGCAACAGGAGAAGCAACTCAATGATTGTAGACTGACGTAAAGAAAGGGTGGTCTGTGTGATCACTGTGGTATATTGCCCAGTGCTTGCAGCCTGGGTCAAGATATTTTACCTACATTTGTGCCCCTCAACCCAGATATATGAAATGGATACCTGAAAATTGTGATAATGGTAGTAATTGCAGGGCATTCAGGAAGAGGAATATTGATTCTGATGAGGCTACCCTGGATGAAGAACACCACAATATTACTATTATTAATCTGCCATGTAAAATGCATAGTACAAAGTAACTTGGTGGTTGAATTGTTTGTTTTTACCTGACTGCTATTAAAGAAAGCATGCTTGTAAGTAAGCAATCATGGGACCGATAGCTTTAAGTTTTTACTAAGGGAATTGGTAATGGGGATTAATGCCTTTATACCAAAGGGCACTAGCTAGCACATCTACTTAGTTTCGAACGTGGGACCTCCTGGTACCATACTTCTGCATTACCACTGAGCCATCTTGCTTCATTCTTACACCAATGCACTTTTGTCTGTGTTTTCATGCAATAGGCATCCAGCATTCCAATCAGCTATCCTTCTCTTCAGAGTCATCATCATGCTGCCAGTCTAAATAATCCTATTTACATCCACCATGGAACTGTTCCAGAGGTTGGAGAAAACTCACAGAATAAGCTCCTAGCAGGGCATAGTTTTATAGATACAACATTACCATGTGATGTTCATTTATTAAATTTCAGGTGGGTACTGTGTGTACGCTAGATTTATATTTGACCTTGATGGAAGTATTTTCCGAATGATAGAGATGATTAATTTTGCTGATGGTGGTCACTATGATGATATTGATGGTAGAGTCATAATAATGAGCTTCAGAAAATGATGATGATGTTGACAATGATGATGGTGGTGGTGGTGGTGATGATGTTGACGTTGATGGTGGTGGTGGTGGTGATGATGTTGACGATGATGGTGGTGGTGGTGATGATGGCAATGCTGTTGATGATGATGTGACGATGATGACGACGACGACGATGATAATGATGATGCTGACGATGATAATAATGGGATGATGATGATGATGGCAATGTGATGGTGATGATGTCAATGATGATGTCAATGATGCTGATGATAATGGGATGATGATGATGATAATGATGAGATGAAGATGGTGATGAGGGGGAAGAAATAATGATGGTTAAATGGTAATGATATTCTTATGGTGGTGGATGTCATGACAATGCTGAGGATGATAATTGTCATGATAGTCATATATGATTACGGTCAGTATATTGCTAAAAATCTTAAGGATAATTATCCTTGAGGTATTAGAATGTTGATGAATATGATGATAAAGAGTTTAATTTACATATACCGGTAGATATGGAGGAATATTTCAGTGTTGTACTTTTTGATAATCATATTTCCATTTACTGCTATAATAATATATGCTAAAAAAAGTCAATAATAATTAACCTTTATATTGCCTTTATGAAATACCAGATTTAAAGCCTTGTTTATCTTTTTGTAGGACAAGAGTTTCACAAGAAACTACTCCACTCAAGCCCAAGCGTGAAGCCTTGTTGATATTGCATAGGAAAGGCTTCGATTGCGGTTTTCCAACTGCCGGCATTCAATGTGCAACAAATGAGGGACGGGTAAGTTCTTCTTTCATTTAAAGTTAAACAGTTCGTCCCAGAAAAAACGAAACCGAGAATTATCAATGTTTAATCATAACCTAGTCACATTTATAATTACTAAATGACACATATTTGGAAAGCTTAGATCCTCCTCTTTCATTTGATGCAACTCATATGATGCATATTTCATGCATGAGTGATTAAAATCAATTTGAAGAGAGGGAACCAAAAAGTCATTTGGCGGACGGTATCTGAATTTCAAGGAGAAAATCACATTTCTAGAAAGTTGAGATTCTGCCCTTTCATATGACAATCAGGAAAAATTAGCAAGGAATGACAAAGTTCTGTTTGTTTAAAGTAGTGCTTGCATTTCCATAATTTTATCAAACGAATTCGTTTTTACTGGTCGCCTGCCATAACAACATGCAGAATTGACAACAGACTTAACTCTGTTTCGTTGACAATCAGCCATGCATGAAATCTTTTGTTTTAAATTGAATGTAGGATTTGCATTTTTTGTTGTCAGATGTCAAATTGCCCAACATAAATTTGAGAAATATCATAATATTCATCTTTGTGAGGCTGGTACATGTGGCTAAAATTATTACAGTTAGTGATTTTGTAATCAAATGCCGTGACACGAGCATTTCATACGTTTAGTTCTTGTGCTTGATCTATCAATTCTGGTGGACTTCCATGCTTTTAATTGTATCTAAATTGTATCATAAACTCTGTTCCCTCCTTTCTAACTCAGATTGATCCGTCATCATTACTGAGCTCTGTGAGTACCCGAGGCGTCGTTGCCACTTCACTGTCTGCTATGTACGATGGACAAGAGGTCTCCAAAACAGCCCAGCTTGAAGTAGAGCCTATGGAACTTAAAACATATAAGGTTCAATTCCAATAATCAAATGAAATGCTGAGAGGACTGTTAATGCTTCTGTTTTAGTTCTTTACGATGAAATATAGGCAATCTGGAATATGACATTGAATCGCATGGCAAATCTCATGTACGGTATTCTATCATGAATAGGATATTGTGCATTAATGTATTCAGTGCCACTGCGCATTCAATAGATGCCGTACTTTTTTAACAATAGAATATATTATATTTTTGTTTGCTGCCTCATAGTCAATCATGTTCCATGACATGTTAAGCGTAAATATCATAACAAAAGTTAGAAGCTTTTGTGTGTTAAATGAGCTAGGTGAGGGAGGAGGAGGAGGGGGGGGGGGTAGAATATACACTCCCATGTTTTGTGAACGTGTAGTTGCAATCAAACAAAATTTGCTGAGTTTGTGAACATCAAATTTCAAGTATGTTGGTTATCAATGAATAATTGTTGTTGTTGTAGTAATCACTCTGCTCTATTGGATTGAATTTTGGGTTACATACTTATCAGTGTGCATTACTTCTATACCTATACCATGTGCACATGTTGAAGAAGCGATATGAGCGCAGTCAGCATTAAAGATTTCAGCAAGGGCAGTAATGAGTTGCAAATGCAAGATGAATTGTGTGTGAATGTGAGACAAGCCACAAATATTCAAATATGGCTCTGATTTCCATGTTTGTTTATCAAAGAAATCAATGAAATAATTTATCATAATTTTGTTGTTATCAAATTGGGATTCAGGAGTTGTTGCAAAAAGAATTAATTAATCTAACGACTTACTTCATCTTAATGTAGCAAATAGTTGTGATTTTCCAGCCTGTAAATGATTACTTAACTATACACTTTATCAATGAACTTCTCTAGTTAGATATTTATTATGAATTCTCTATAATTATGTAATTGAAATTATCATTAGTGATGTAAAGGAGGAGTAACAGCATATAAATGCTCTCCTCTTCAATGTCTGACCAGGATGCCAATTTGATGTTAAATTTTAAACTTTCTCTGAGGCAGCTGAAGATACCAAGTTTTGTCTGCTCCTGGTTTAAAAAAATTGTTTTCCTATACTGGACATCATTCCTTTCATGTGATTAGATGAATCTGATATGGAGAAGGTTTGGGAAGGTTAGCTGACTGTATATAACGTTTTACTCTTAGAAATGCAATAGTTTGAAAAATATACTTTGATCAATGGTTGTCTTCGATCTATCTATGGTACTGCATACTCCATAAAACTTTTTGTATGCCAACTGCATGGAACATGTGTCAAAAGATGATAGAAATGATTTTAGTTTGTAGTATACATGTCAATTTGCTCATGAACTTGAACTGGCAAATTTTTTCTTTTCTTTCTTTCTAAAGAAGAAATTGAGCTCAAAGGTATAAATATATTTTATTTAGGTTATAGTGGAATTGGAAAAAACAAAGGACAACCTGTCTCTATTTTTGTGTCTTCTCTGTTTTATGCCTGTGTGTTAAATAGAATTTAAGAATGTGATTGCTATGAATTGAATAGGTAGCTAGAATTTCTGTTTTTGAATTGCATGCATTGTACATTGATCATTTATTAAGCAAATCCGGAAAATGCCTGAAAAAGTCAAAATGAATCATGTAGGAAGGACTGTGTTTAGCTTTGTATCTATGCCTTTTATAAAGCTTTACAGTTAGTTCAAGGTAATAGTGATGTGCCTTAATTCTGATACTTTGTAACATTCTAGATCATCTGTCTGTTAATAGGTGAACACCTTTTGATAATAAAACCAAATTTCAGTCATACTGCTTTTTGTTATGTATGTGCACTTTATGGATCTGAAAATGTTTATTTTCAACCAATCATCATTCAAATCAATTAGGTTATTCTTTCTATTATGATTTTGTGAGAAAAACATTCCTAGTCTTCTTAATTGCAGAATCATTTCTACTGTTTTCATTCAATCGATTTGAGTATGATGCACTCTGCTTTAACCCTATTTAGCCCGGGCTATTTTGAAACTGCATAGCCCGGGGGGGGGGGCTTCTCAGGCCCCCCCCCCCCCTATGATCTCGGCCGTGAAACGCCCGATCGCCGCGAAAATTTGCATACATGTCAAGTGAAGTGTATAGAATACTATGGTAATTTCAATTTTTTTGAAAAATTCACTCATTTGCATATTTATGGTAATTTATGCAAATAAGGTCATTAAATTCACATTTTTGCCCATAAATCAGACATTATTCATATTTAAGCATTCTTTCTCACTACATATATTTGTTAGACCATTTGGAATAATAATACAGCACAAAAATTTGAAAAACCAGGGTTATTCCTTATGTTATCTATTGTTTTGATAATTTCTTATGTATTTCTTTGTTTTTTTAACTTATGTATTTTATTGTTTTTGTTGTTTTATTTCATTTCCAACTATAATTCAACTATTTTGACCCCAAAATAAACACCTAAAATCTAAACAAGACCAAATAACCAATGTTTTACCTCTTTATTTGAAAAATGAGATTTCCATATGTTTTGTACACAAATCACAAAAATGAGCGATTTTCGGGCTGACATGCGAAGACAAAAGGACACGTGACTTTGTAATGGTAGGTCCGATTTTCGAAAAATTTCTTTCAAAAGTTGCGCAAGACTCGAAAGAAAAAAGTCACAAAATTTCAGTGCAAGATTTTCTTGCGTTAAAAAATTATCGTGAAAAATGTCGAGGGGGGGGCTTCTCAAGCCCCCCCCCCCCCCCCCCCGGGCTAAATAGGGTTAAGTTGAATTTAGCTTACATGTTTCTTCATATCAGTATGGTTCACATATGTTGTGATTGATTTCCAAAAGGAAATAGTTTCATCCAGTAGTACTTGTGCCATCATTGGAAGAAAGGGAGTGATTTAGATTCAAAACTTCTCACAAGAAAGATGGCACAATAATTATATCAAGAATTTGTATTTTTATTCCTTTACAGATATAAAAGTGTGAATCTTCATAAAGCAATATTTAATTGATTTTAGAATTATTTGAGTATCGAGGCTTCTGCAAATTGTGCAATAAAGCCATCCATGAATGCTTGAATCTATGGAAGAGTGAATTTTGATACAATCTTGTCGTTTTGAATCGGATATCACAATTAGTGGGCTATATATATATATATATGATGATATCCAGTAGCATTAACATTTCAATATGTTAACCCCTTATCTATCTCAAAAAGATTGTAGTGAAACTTGTAGTGAATCTTTGTTTGTGCAAACCTAACATTTTGCGGATAAATGCATAATTCAAGAAATCTCAAAAGAAACAATATATAATTTTTTTCTCTCCACATTTGTTCATTGTAGATCATGACATTTATGTGAAAATTGTTACATCTTGCAAGTTTCTAAAATTGGTTAATTTTATGTAAAGAAGTAATCCCCAGACTCTCTTTAAAATTACATTCTAAGTCCATTTCTTCAGGAATCTCTTACTGAAAATATTTAGGATCTTGAATATACTGGACATAAAGAATGTAGCAATTGGTTGTGATGCAAAATGTTGTCATGCATACATCGATGTACTCCACGTGAAGTGCCAAGAGTTTTCGGTAAGGTATAAATATACAAGGAAGTAATTGGTGGTAAAGGAATAGTGGGATATACCATTCAACAAATTCAACAAGACCTTAATATGTCAAGGCAAAACAATGGAACAGTATTTACAGGCCAACATAAAAAATGTAACTTTGTGATTACTAGTATCACTTTATTTTATTTTTAGAAAAATGGTGTTTATGTTTTATACTTTCCTGCTATTTCCCTTTTTTACTAAAGATGTTCCTTTGTTACATATATGTTACATGTATTTTGTCATTTTTGTGATATCTGTTATTTCAATTTACTTTTGTTTGATATGCTATATACCTTGTTCTAGAAACAAAAACGATAATATAAACAAATTATGGTGTCTAGTAATATATGGCTTCTTACTGAGGTCTTAAATTGCAATTACTTGATATAATGAATTGATGTATATAAAGGAATTAAATTCAGATACGTTTTAAGTTTGAAAACTATTTTGTGTATTTCCCAGTTCGAGTAATGGACCAACAAGTTTATTTAAGAATGTCGGAAACTGTAAACATTTAGAATCAGTTTTGGATATATAAGTGGAAGCACGTATGTTTGGACACACAGGATAGAAATTTCCTTGTATTCTACAAAACATGGATTCACTGTGATGCCCAATCAATGAAAAGTTCAACAAAATCAACAAAAGTGCTTGTAATATTTACACTCCTGGGGCTGTATTCCGAAAAAACTGTCATCTTTTACGTTAGTAAGAAGTATGTCAACTGTCATAACCAACCAAAAGTATGCAGAATAAACATCAGAGCCATTGTGCTTGTGCAAATGCCCCTTTACACTGTATGCATGAACAGCAAGCGTTGCACGGAAATTAAGCAATGATTTGCCCTAATTTATATCTATTATGATGATTAACACCGTTTTACAAACATAAAAGATGACATCGTTTCCAGAATACCATCCCTGATGACAATTTTAGAAATCATACACATAAATAGGAAATGCAATAAACACTTCTTTTATATTTTGTGTTTTATTTAGACTTTGTTTCACAATAGGTACAACATAGTCCATGAAAGGAAACCAAGAGGTATTTCTACCTCATATCAAGCAACATCTAAGTGTATCACATCCTCCTTTGAGTCATCACAACATACATGTATATGCATTACTAGTGGCTATATCATCTGTTAAAATGCACAAGAACCAAAAGACAAATACATTCCAAAACTGAGTGCAAAGAAAGTTTTAGGTAAAAGTGGATACTACCGGGTACATGTATTAGACATGTAAGTTTCATAGTTTTCAAAATAACAGAAAACATTACTTCAGAATCGGATTTCAAATATTCTTGTACTCATTTTTTATTGAATATTCTACATTGAATCTAGGGCATTTTTTCACGAGTTGTTTTAGTTGAGTTATTACGCAATAAGCTCACATGGGTACGTAGTTGATTTCAAAATGGACAAGAAAATTGGCTCTCGTTTTAAAAAAAAACTTTAAAAAACAGATCAGTATAAATTGAGAAAGAATCAGAGGCAAGGTAGATGGAATACAAGTTATCGAAAAATGTAAATAATAATTAAAAAGTTATTTCAGCTCCATATTTCAATCATAATAATCAGTTTAGAATACCGGTACATCAAGCTCTATTGACTACATCAAATATAAAAAATTGACAAAGGAAAGAAAAATCAATACAGTTCAAAAATATAACTGGAGATAGGGTAGTTAAAAATATTTTCTCACTGTCAAAAAAGCGAACGATACAACCGCCAAGAATATTATTTCAATATTTCATTCACCCCTTGCCAATCTGAAAAGGATAATCTCCACATGAGATTTGAAATAATCATTTGAATTGGTAAAACATCTACATGAATATGCTCTTCCAATGGTATAAATAAAAGCACAAGAACATCCAAGACTTATCTAAGGCTTTTAAATCTTGTTTATAAACAGCAATGTGCACACAGGTAGTCATTTTTAAAAAGATATGCAATAACAATGTTGGGGGCTTTTGTTCAATTCTTAGAAATCCACACAATCCAATTAAAGACATTTGTGAAAATAAACATGTTTGGTATTTAACTGAATATATCTTTTTTTGCATATTGAAGTACATCTTTAAAATTTGAAGTCGTTCATCAAGAATTCATAATTTTCTAAAACAACACAAATATTATTAGTCTTTTCACAAACTTGTACTTTAAAAAATGCTAAAAATTACCAAAATATTTTCGAAAACAAATCATTTCTTTTATCACAGCAGAGAAATAGTGTTTTATGATTGCAGCATTGAGTAATGTTTTTCATTTGGCACGTACTGTACTTATCACATAATAAAATGAGCAAAAAGAAAACTTCTTTAGTTCTGCTTGAGATTGTCATGACAGATAAATGACTTTGGCCTTACATTAATATTGCAGGTTTTTAAATATAATATGATAGCAGCATGTTTCAAGTTCAACATTTCAGTGATTTCATGTGGCACATACTAATCACATAATAAACTGGGCAAAAAGCAAACTTCTGTAGTGCTGCTGGAGATTGTCGTGACAGATAAATGACTTTGGCATTACATTAATATTGCAGCTTTTAAAATATAATATGATAGCATTATGTTTAAATTTCAACATTTCAGTGATTGACTGATTTGAAGTTCTTTATATAAGAATACATACGGTATTTAAGGTACTGCCTTATATAAATCATGCATTAAGGTATGAATATTTCTATGCTAAAATTACAAATGTTCCAAGTAATGTCTATAGAATCAAGTTTCTTCTCCAAATCTGTGTGGTAACATTGATTAATTGATGAAATTCTACAGCTGAGTTGTTGCTTGGTATATATCCATCAGCAGTGACCTTTAATCAACCTCCTCAATGGTGGGGCCACCACCGGTACCACTGTCTCCACCACTGGGACCACCGGGCATACCACCAGGCATACCACCGGGCATACCACCTGGCATACCACCTGGCATGCCACCGGGGGCACCACCAGCAGCTTGGTACATCTTGGTGATGATGGGGGTGCAGATACCTTCCAATTCTTTCTGTTGGTGCTCATACTCCTCCTTCTCAGCAGTCTGTGATTTGAAATGGTAACATAGAATATAGAGTTTCTTGTAAGGTTTTTATCCCTTAGAATGACCCCTGTGACCTTAGACCAGGGGGGCATTTCACAAAGCATGTTTTCAATGACAAATGACAAAAATCAGTGACAAATCTGCTGATGACCAATCAGAAGCAAGGATTTCAGTAGCTTATAACAAAAACTGTCATTTGTCACTGATGACAAGTTTTGTGAAACGCCACCCAGATTAAGCCCAGATGAAAATGTCACGACCCTATAGTCCTGTAATCAATACCTTAATTTTCTGAAATCTTAATTGAGTGCTGATGACACGTGGCATGAGTACTGTATGGAAGAAGAACACTAAAACTAAGAATGCCTTTCTATGACGGAGAACCAATTATGTCACTATTTTTCATTTGAAAAAACATCATACTGACCTGGTTGGCGTCCAGCCAATCCAAGACTTCCTTGCACTTGTCCATGATCTTAGTCTTGTCGTCCTCTGCGATCTTATCCTTGATCTTCTCATCTTCCATGGTGCTCTTCATGTTGTAGGCATAGCTCTCAAGGGCATTCTTGGCCGAGATCCTGTCCTTTTCCTTGTCATCTTCCTCCTTGTACTTCTCGGCATCGGCAACCATCTTCTCAATCTCCTCCTTGCTGAGACGTCCTGATCACGAGGAAGGAATAGGAAAAGCAGAGGTTAGGAAACTCTTGTAATGTTGATCAGTTTCCCTGCCAAGGGAACAATCATATTCATATCAAAGCCCATCAGGCCTAATGTAAAACCATAAACTTTCTTGTGCATGAAATGTTTGCAACTCTTTGCAAGTGGTTCAGATTTGAGTTTCACGTTTCAAATTTTCATGCCACAAAGTAACTGAATTCAAACTGAGACAACACTCAATTTCTGCCATTTTTTATATTTACAAGAAAATCACCCTCCTTCAGAAACCATGTTCTATCTTGCAAACATTTCATATTTTGGAATACACAAGTTGGTATCTAATGATGTCCACAAAACATGTTATTTTGCAAACGCCTCTATGATGTCAAAGTTTCTTGAGTCATCAGTACATAAATAAAACAGCCTGGATGTACCTGCAAAGCCAAATTAAGAGGCTCTTGACAGCAAAGTTTATACTCTGTAACGTACCCTTGTCGTTGGTGATGGTAATTTTGTTCTCCTTGCCAGTACTCTTATCCACTGCAGATACGTTGAGGATACCATTGGCATCAATGTCAAATGACACATCGATCTGGGGGACTCCCCTTGGTGCTGGTGGAATACCGGACAGCTCAAACTTCCCAAGGAGGTTCTGAGAAACGAGAGAGCCATAATGAGAATTCATTACATGTGTAATTCAGTTAATTCAAAAAAGCAATTGAAATAAGCAAATGGTGCACTGACTTTACTTTGATTTCTGCAAACGAAACTACCAACTGGAATATTAACTCTATATAAAATATAATTTTGATATTTCACAAGAAAAATCCACATAGGATACCATTTTCTTTTGTAGGCCTTTGAAACAATTAGAGCCATGCAAAGAAAAACAGAAATAAGCTTTTCCAAACACATCCTATGACCAGCACAATTTAATTCCATTCCACAGAGTCAGCCACTTACGTTGTTCTTGGTCATGGTACGCTCTCCCTCGTAGACTTGAATGAGCACACCTGGTTGATTGTCAGCATAGGTTGTAAAGGTGTTGGTCTGCTTGGTTGGGATGGTTGTGTTCCTCTTGATAAGAGGGGTCATGACACCACCAGCCGTCTCGATACCCATGGACAGTGGGGCAACATCCAGAAGGAGCAGGTCTTGGACTTCACTGGACTTGTCCCCAGACAGGATGGCAGCTTGAACAGCTATTGTGTATAGACAATGATACTCATTCAAATCAATACAACAAAATGGTGAACGTGCACATTCTTCCTGCCTTGTTCATTGTTACAGACATTTGATTAAAACTGCCCTGTAGAAACTGGCCACAGACATTTGGATGTCACAGTTACCTTTCAAATGAGGTCTACATGAATTCATAATACATTTGTTGTTGCTGCTGCATAGAATATTATCACTCCCATGATATATTTTTTTTCTTCTTCTCATTTCCACGATATTCATTTCTTCACTTAAATAAAAGCAAAGGAAAGGGAGAACTGATCATGATTCCAGAATACTGAAAAAGGTCTATACATAGGGAATATCAGGATTATGGCCTAAATGTAAGATGCATACCTGCTCCATAAGCGACAGCCTCATCAGGGTTGATGCTCTTGTTGAGTTCTTTGCCATTGAAGAAGTCCTGCAGGAGCTTCTGGATCTTGGGGATCCTGGTGGAGCCACCAACCAAGACAATCTCATGGATCTTATCCTTATCCAATTTGGCATCACGAAGGGCATTTTCAACAGGCTCCAGGGTGCCACGGAAAAGGTCAGAGTTGAGTTCCTCAAATCGAGCACGGGTGATGGAGGTGTAGTAGTCGATACCCTCAAACAGGGAATCGATCTCAATGCTGTAAGGATTCAAAGAAAAATCATAACTTCGCTACAGCAATAATCTTTTATCATAAAAGAAATGTTGTTTCATAATCTCATTTGACTTTCCTCATCCACTTAGATACATACTGAAGATCTCAAGTCAAGAGCTGTGCTAAGTAATCTTCTCTTTCCTAGAACAGCACCCTAAAAACTAGTTTAATACACAAGATTTACAATAACACCATACATTTTAGTACTTAATTCAAAAGGACTGTTGTTGATTACTAGTTTTAGGACAAGTTTTAAGGACTAACTCCAATTGTAAATCATGTACATTATCTTCTCACCGTAAAAACGTACATAGAACACCTAAAAACTAGTTTAATTGTGAATGGTAACGAGGGAACTTGTCATGAAGAAAACCAAATTCAAAGGTGGACCTACTTGGCCTGTGTGCTTGATGAGAGTGTCCTCTTGGCCCTTTCACAAGCCGTCCTCAGTCTCCTCACTGCCCTCTTGTTGGGGGTGATGTCTTTCTTGTGCTTCCTCTTGAACTCTGTGATGAAGTGGTTGACCATGCGGTTGTCAAAGTCCTCACCACCCAAGTGAGTGTCGCCGGAGGTCGACTTCACTTCAAAGATACCCTCTTCGATTGTGAGCACAGACACATCGAAGGTTCCACCTCCCAGGTCAAAGATCAGGACGTTGCGTTCAGCACCGACCTGGTGAAAGAGTTTTTCACACAAAGCCATGCAATTCAGAACATCATGATCCAATAAGAAAGTGGTTTATTATTAACCCTTCAAGCATAATGGCCAGAGTGACAGTAAAATAATCAAAAGATGCAGATTTGTGAAAGCTTTTAATATCCTGACAAAGAATAATTAAGTTGTAAACTTTGGAAGGTTGAGATCAATAATGATACACATATTTAGAATTTTCCATCCATTGGCAAATCTCCCATGATGCCTGATAATAACTACTCTTTCGTTGTATATTTAAAATTACTCCAAACATAATTTTTCTCAATTTCATAATTACCTTCTTGTCAAGACCATAAGCAATAGCAGCTGCAGTAGGTTCATTGATGATACGCAAGATGTTCATACCAGAGATAACACCAGCATCCTTCGTTGCCTGTCTCTGGGAGTCATTGAAGTAGGCTGGTACAGTAACAACAGCATCTGTTACTTTCTGTAACACCAAGCACATAAGGAATTATTGGGTATCTATACTAATGATAATTAAAAGCTTAAATGAGAAATAAAATATCAGACCATCTGAAAAGCTTTTTGTGATAGTAAAAGGTTTCATATAAGTTGTTCTAAAATGAACATGTTACCGTTCTTCGCAGATGATATTCACAACAGTGATCAGCATGGGATAATTTCTGGTTGTAAAGATCTCTTTTAAAAATGATGTTTACCGGTAAGAGAAATCCTACTCCTATTCTGTATGACTGAGGTAGCTATCATATTAAAGATGTAATAAAGTGAACAAGGTCAGACTGATGAAACCATTCAGGGCAGCATTTTGGATAAAATGAGAAAACTACAAGTACTCTTTCTACATCTAAGTGGATTGCAACATTGTCTTGTTAGTATTGACCATGGACAGGAAGAAATAATGTGCAACCTCAAACACCAACCTTTCCTAGGTATGCCTCTGCAGTATCTTTCATCTTCAGCAGCACCATGGAACTGATCTCCTCAGCATAGAACGTCTTGGTTTCTCCCTTGAACTCGATCTGTATCTTGGGTCTGCCACCCTCCTCAATCACATCGAATGGCCAATGCTTCATATCAGCCTTCACACATGCGTCTCCGAAGTTTCGACCAATGAGGCGCTTAGCATCTGTAGAAGTAAGGGAAAGATTTAATAGACTATGACATTCATTCGAGAGCCTAAGTATTTATGAGTACACAAGGGTAAGGGGTAACAAAATGCATATATTTCATTTCCTTTCTTTCTATTTAATGAGTAAAATCCCTAAAACAAAAGGAAGCATGCAGAGATGCATGGTGTTAAACAATATAAGCTTAGTGAAGTGGCACGAAAAGACGTGTCTGGAACACAAAAATCTGTTATTGTTCAAAAGTCATATTTCAATGCCATTGAGGTTATGTAGAACCATATCATTAGGACACAGAGCTAGTAACTCTCTACTACCTTGATTAGACTTAATTTCACACAAAAATATCAAAACGTGTCAAATTAAAAGTTTTTATTCACCAATGTCATCAACTATTATGCCTTTTTGCAATACAGACACTTCTTTTTGTGACCATGACATTTTGTCCACTGTTTTGCAATTTTTTTCGTTTTACTGTAGTGCCCTGTGTGGGCAAATTAACCCATATCTCAGATACGGTAATCTGATTATAATTCATGTTTACAGCCCATATCTGATATAAACAATGAAAGATAGCTAGAAATATTCATTAAACATTAAAGAAAGAGTGAAATAGAATCAACATATTTACAAAGTCTGCACATACCAAAGACGGTGTTGTTTGGATTCATGGCGGTCTGGTTCTTTGCTGCATCTCCGATCAGACGCTCTGTATCAGTGAAGGCTACATAGCTTGGGGTTGTCCTGTTTCCTTGGTCGTTAGCAATGATTTCAACTTTCCCATGCTGAAATACTCCAACACACGAGTATGTTGTTCCAAGATCAATTCCTACTGCTGGTGCTTTGGCCATATTGCTTTACCTTCAATATATAAAAACAAAATAAATTATAGGCCTACACACAGCAAGGCTCATCTACACAAACTCTTTATATTAAAGGGATAGTCAAGTTCTGCTGCAGAGGGCGCTGCACAAAGTAATTTTTTGTGAGATAATGAAAAACTGACTGTCAAATATGAAGGAACATATAATTTAAATGACAAAATCATCTTTGTTTGATCAAAATCGGTTCAGAGACGGCTGAAATATCCATTAATATAACAATTTCTAATACTTTGAACCAGCCGTTGAAAGCCATTGAAAAAACGAAATAGCGCCTTTTACGTTGTATTTCAGCCAATGCCGATGTTGGCTTTTTTGTGTGGCTTTTTCGTGTTGGATATTATTACAATCAGCCGGCCCATGTATTGTTATTATTAATTAATTAATAAATTAACAGTCATTGTATGTTTTTGAAAATGGAGCTGAATTGGTATGATCGTATTGGCTAAATTTCACTCATTTGGGGGTCTAAAATTACCTTCAAATTTTAAAAATTTGGGGGTCTAAAATTAGTAAATTACCTTCATTGAAGGTAATTTTAGACCCCCAAATGAGTGAAATTTAGCCAATACGATCATACCAATTCAGCTCCATGCACTGTCAAAAAAATATGGTGACCGTTAATTAATCAATTAATTAAAAGTAGCAATACATGGGCCAGCTGGTTGTGGTAATATAACCAACACGAAAATGCCAAAAAAGCCAGCATTGGCTGAAAACAGACGTAAAAGGCGCTATTTTGTTTTTTCAACAGCTTTTTCAAATCATCTAATTTTTGTGGTGGTAGTTATAATACTAATTTAGAACTTCCCTAAAAAAGGTGGGGCTTGAAAATGTCTTCAAGTGGGAAAATAACAACTATTAGTTGTCAAATCGACTTCGGAGCTATATAGAGCCAATAAGTAATAGGTCTAGTCTTGATTATCAGACCATTGTACTGAATGGTCATACTTTTTATGCTGCGCAAAGATTCAATCAGTTTAATTTTGGCCATTACAAGATGTTGGTTATTGATGTAGACAAATGCTCATTTACCCTTTACAGCTCATTTTAAGTATCTTATTATCAAAGAAGAAAAAAGCCAGTCAGTCACTCAATAGTGTCTGACAGTGAAGTCTAGCAGGTAAACGGGTTTCCTTGCATAATTTGAATATTAAGACACTGCTAACTTTTAAATTTCACAGATACATGTAGAGTAAAGGAGGGGGTAATCGACCAGCTTCAGTTTTCGGCCGATTGGTTGGATGCATGGTAAAATCCCTTTAAAATACATAGCATAATAGCATATCACATATCCCACACATATACCACACATATAGCCAGAGTCACTGAAGAACCACATTTGCAATGAAAAATATATCCTAAAATATCACATTTTAGCGATGTAATCGGTGGTCCCGCTACCCGAATCTGAAAAATCAAGTATCTTACGCATGTCTGTAAGAAATATGGGTACCATAAAATGAGCTTTATTTCAAGTATTTCTCAGATTAAAGGTACTATGTCCCTTTTGCAGCCGACCTCAAATGCTGTAGAACTTTGCAGGAATTATGAATATGTCATGTATGTCCTATCTGTGAAATTTAAACGTTAGCAGTGTCCTCGTATTCAAATTATGCAAGGAAACCCGTTTACTTGCTAGACTTCACTGTCAGACACTATTGAGTGACTGACTGGCTTTTTTTCGTCTTTGGTTTGGTAACATACATGAAAAGAGTTGTAAAGGGTACATGAGCATTTGTCTACATCAATAACCCACTTCTTGGCCAAGATTAAACTGATTGAATCTTTGCGCAGCATAAAACGTATGACCATTCGGTACAAATGTCTGAAAATCAAGACTATTACTTTTGGGCTCTATAGCCCTAAAGTCGATTTGACAACTAATAGTCATTATTTTCCCACCTGAAGACATTTTCAAGCCCCACCTTTTTTAGGGAAGTTCTAAATTAGTATTATCTTTCAAATGCAGTTGGAATTTAAATTTTTCATTTTTTTGGCCGGCAAGTGGGACATAGTACCTTTAAGAGCCTGATTAATTCAGATTCCAATTTTCGATCACTGCAGTACTATAGTTTTCGGCCTGGTGAGCTCCGGCGGGGGATACCTGCTCCGCCCGCTAGTATATAGATCAGCGCGGAAACGCACGGCGCACGCACGCTTCCTATTGACTTTGTATATGCGGCCGAAAACTGGTTCGCTATGCCGATAACTGTCTCCTAAACAGTGAAAATTGAAATGAATATTGTCATATGGCAATTCATGATTTTTTTCTGGGATTCTTTTTTTGTTTAAATGATATTTGCTTCATGATTTGAACAAGAAATGATAATAAATAGGAAGTAAAGGGTCCAAAAAATAGGATTTTGTCTTAAGTGGCCGAAAACCCCCTCCTTTACTCTAGAACATACATGACATATTCATAATTCCTGCAAAGTTCTACAGAATTTGAGTTTGGCTGCAAAAGGGACATAGCTGTATTAGAAATTGCTACATTTAATTATGGATATTTCAGCAGTCTCTGAACCGATTTTGTCATTTAAATTGTATGTTCTTGCAAATTGACACTCGTTTTTTTATTATCTCACAAAAATTATTTTGTGTAGCGCCCTCTGCAACAGAACTCAACTATCCCTTTAAGTAGGCCCTCTGCTCTCACTTAAATTTGAAGCCACTATACGGATCGGCCAATGGGAGCGCGTAAACTCACTGTAGAACGCTCAGTGCGTAAAGTTCTACGTGCAGTGTTAGTATAGTGCACCAGGGGCACGTCCCTCCACCCATCCCCCCCCCCCCCCTCCCCCCAGCCAACTACAATTAAAAAATAAAATAATATGTGGGGGAAATGGAGGAAGAAAAAAATCATGGGCACACCAAAATCCATAAGAACTAACAGATTAAATCAGAATATTACAAAACAAGTCAAAGACAAGGAATTAGAATTGTCAAAAAAAATGTCACCCAATTAGTCTAGACCTCTAGACCCTAAAGTCTTTAAAGATAGAGACGATTCTAGTCTAGGGTGGGGTTAGACCGAATTTTCCGTCTCTTTCGTTCGTTAGCCTCTTAGGTCTATTGGGGTAGGGTCGGCTCATCCCGTCTAGTCTACGCCGAAGGCAAAATGATTATGAAGGAAAAACTGTGCGCCATCTGCACGTTCGTAATGGCGTTATCACAGTTTTTCCTTCATAATCATTTTGCCTTCGGCGTAGACTAAAAGGGATGAGATTGATTTAGATGACTCCGGCAGCGAAAGTTTAACACGGCTTGCAAGATTTTCAACATGGATGTCGATTTTGACCCATAATTTCCTTAAAAGGGACCATTAAACGGATTATTTCAATCAAGTTAGTAAGTGGAACCGATGTACTATTAGCCTAGGCCTAATTTACATTTGGATATAGGCCTAGATCTAGATCTACACGAGGTAAAATGACATTTTGGGGGATTTTGGGGGCAAAACGCTACGACCTGAAATGGCCGTGGCGTTATCAAGGGAATGTGTATAGACCTAGACGGTTTCCGTCTCTAAAGAGAGAGCCGGCCGACCCTACCCCAATAGGAGGCTAACGAACGAAAGAGACGGAAAATTCGGTCTAGACTAGGGTGGGGTAAGTGAAAATTATGTTTGTGTTAGGTCTAGATCTAGACTATACCTTGAATGAAGAAGGACATGGTATAATAACAATCGAATAATACTAGAGGTGCTCTCGTATTAACAACCGTTTTCTTTTTCTTTCTTTTTTCTTGTGAAACAGGCCAGGAGCAAAGCATGCATCGCATGCGGTTACTGTACCGGTATGTAACCTTCATACAAACAATGCACACGACACGACAATGACCATGCTGCCAGCAATACCGGCGTTATCCACAATCGTTAATCTTGGAACAAAAGAGAGACAAAAAGAATGGGGCGCGTTTATGGATCTTTCTTACCTTGCTTATGTTGATGATGAAAACGCAAATATATCTTTTCAAATTGCAATCAATCAGTCTTGTTTCTTTGACATGGGAGGTGGTAGATCTAGCTGTTGTTCACACCATGCAATGGCCAATGCGGAAGCTAAGAGGCGGATTTAGCAATGATTTTGCAAGCGCGCGATCCGACCGTCGACCTAGTCCATCCAAAGTTCAATATCATATGACGTCATTCGTCGGTACGTGAAATATTATTACCATTCGAACATTCTGGATGGCGCGGAGCGAACAATGCATTACCAATGTCAATGACTATGGGGAAAACCGAAAAAGGCTTTATCTGAAATATAGGTATGATGCATGAATTACCAATGTCAGTGACTATGGGGAAAACCACAAAAGGCTTTATCTGAAATACAGGTATAAAGCATGAATCACGAGGACAAAATGAAGAAGACAAGGAAGAGACAAAAATGGGGTTGGGGTCCGGCTCTCTGGCTCTGTAACACAAAGCTTTACAACATGCCATACCATTTTTGTAATGTAACCAAATTTAATATACACCTGTGTGAAGTGCCTCAAATCAATACAAATATTAGCATTCACCTAGCAGTATTGGGGCAGTATTATGAATAATCGTATTTTAATAGCCGAGTGCGCAAGATGCACACATTACCTGTTGTTAAAGGTATAGGCAATTAAGCCATATTTGTTCTACCTGGCAACAACTAATGTATGCAGTTCGCACATTCTGAATATTGAAATACGTTTACATGTATTGAAATTTGAATGAAATCATTTGAATTGAGGCACTCCACAAAGACATGCATTAGATTTGGTATCACGTTAGGAAAATGGTCTTTTGACTTATTATTTGAGTTTTGTTATTCATTGCACAGTATATTGCATCAATATGCTACAATGTATTTCCCCAAAAAATACATGCAATGTGTTAACCAAACTTCAAGTTGGGCATGCGATTTTTTGTTCACAAATAGTGCAGTTAGCTCCAATCTGTTTTTTTTTTTTTTTTTGCCTTATATTCCAATATGTCTACTTGTTCCCCCTTTAAAACAGCACTTGATTGCATACTAATAACCCATCTCGAAATCTCTTTTCACAAAATCGTTCAGTGGAACCTCTTTACAACAGAGCCTTTAGAACCAACGAAATTAGCTTGATACAGTGTGTACAGTGTATAGAAATCTATTTTTTAAATCAAATTTATAAGAAATGGTACCAGTACAATATAATTGAATCATAACCAGCGTTGGTTGCAATTGTTCTTTCTAATGTTACACTGTATCAACTCACATTCCACTTATATACTTGACTCAATAGGCCATCTTCAGGATAGCCTAATTCATACACACATGCCTCGATACGAATTATTTCATTCACCTGTTGCAATTAATCACATTTCAATAGTCAGAATGCAAATTGCATACACAACATGTATTATTCTTGTTGTTAGGTGGGGCAAACCATGCCTGTCCTACCTAGCAACAACTAATGTATGTAATTTGAATTCTATTGAGATCAATTATTTGTCATGGGTGAATGAAATCATTTGTACTAATTAGCGCTACACAAAGGCATATATGCATAAATTAGGTTACACTACGAAAACTGCTCATTCAACTCTCTCCCCAATTCGTATCCTTGAATATTCCTCGCTCCTTTCGCTCCTCATTTCAATCAGGCCAATGAACAATGGATTATATTTTTATTATTTTGTTTTTATCATTGATTGTGTACATCACTAGACTTAAAATTGCAAATTTTGAAAACAAAGAGGGAAATAACTCTCACATTGGCAATGTCACTCTTTTCACAAAGTCACTGCCTTTACAAAAACAAAATCAAAATATGTTATCTCTAAAATTAATTAAATAGAATGCGAGTTTACTCTTTGAGTTTTAGAAATGGGTCATCACAGACATTTTATTCAGAACAGTTTTACACCAATAAATTTTAGGTTTGAGAACAATAAATACAGATACAGTATATCTATTGTGAAACAGATAGGTCTTCTATTTTGGTACATACACCAACATGGACTTGACATACGGTAGCTTGTAAATCTCAAAATAGGCAATATGATTTGTATACATGTACATAAGTTAACATATACACAACAACCTACATCACATACCCTGATACTGGAATAAGCAACTGAAGACTCAATTAATAACTTGCATCTTTTTCACAATATAGGCACAGTGATTTGTATAAATAAGTTACTGTATACAAAAAATGAATCACACACTTTGAGATTAGAAAGAAAAACTCACAAGGGAAAAACAATAAATATGGGAACAAAATAGCACAAGCATCTTGGATACGTCAACAAAAACTCACATGTAACAAGAAATATTTATCAGTCATACCATAAAATACCCGAGGAGAATATCCAATGCAGAAATGTTCATTCATCATGCTGTTTTTTTCCATACAAGCAGGTAATTTTTTTGGTGGTTATTTTGGTATTATCGGCATTTCATTTCTTTTGAGAATATTTCTCTTCAAGTATGTTTTAAAATAAGTTTTCTATTGAATTTGTGATCAAATCACCATTTAAGGGCAGTTGCTTGACGTGTGGTATGTTAAAAAAAAAAAAAAAAATTATTAAAAAACGTATTTTATGAAGAAAAAACGTAGTACCGTAATTTGGAGGAAAAAACTGAGTAATTCCGGAATGGTTGGCAGCTCTGAAGTATGTATGCAAATAACATGAATGTACATGTATAAGATAAAATTCATGACTATTGTTTCACATGACACCAGCTTGATGTCAGGCCTGATGTCTCAAGTCTCCCAAATCCCTGATTTACAATATCTTTGGCAATATTTTGAGAAGTGAAAAGTGTGAACTCATCAAATACATGATGAAAGGCAGGCAATAAAGAGCCTGAAGAATTGAAATGTTTTTCAGTTGAAACTGCAATTTTGAATTTAATGCAATAAATATTCTCTACCAAACATTTCCTGAAAAAATAGAGCTTTACCGTATCAACATAACCAACAACAAAACATTAAGGAAACATACTACTTCTGTGGGGTTCTATCCGAGTCCCATTTCATGATGGGCAAGTTTCATGTCTGTTCAATTTTTTTTCAGTCCAGTATTTAATCAACCTCCTCGATGGTGGGGCCACCACCGGTACCACTGTCTCCACCGCTGGGACCACCGGGCATACCACCAGGCATACCACCGGGCATACCACCTGGCATACCACCTGGCATGCCACCGGCACCACCAGCAGCTTGGTACATCTTGGTGATGATGGGTGCACAGACACCTTCCAATTCTTTGTGTTGGTGCTCAAACTCGTCCTTCTCGGCAGTCTGGTTATGATCTAGCCAGTCAACGGTCTCCTTACACTTTTCCAAGATCTTAGCCTTATCTTCCTCTGCGATTTTGTCCTTGATCTGTGGATCTTCCACGGTGCCCTTCATGCTGTAGGCATAGCTCTCAAGGGAATTCTTGGCTGCGATCGTTTCTTTGGCTTTATCATCTTCTTCCTTGTACTTCTCGGCTTCAGAAACCATCCTATCAATCTCCTCTTTGGAGAGACGACCTGCAGAATGAGGGGAGGGTGAAATCAAATACATGAAATAGACAAGGACTGCTCTTCTTACTATTTTCATTCAAATCCAAGCAAACAAATCATAAAGTGATACAAATACACGTAAGACTGGCTTTAAACAAATCTTTCAACTCTTAAATGTCTGGAATGGTATATAGAGCCAATTCATTGCTTTGTGATGATTTACATTCACCTAAACTTTTAATTAAATTGTAATAATATAGTTGGGAGAATTAAAAAATCGATCAGATCAGTTTTTCCCAATTTATATCATTTCACTCCAAATTTCAGATTATCTTTAATTGTACATCTAGCATTTAAGTCACTAACTTAGCACCATTTTCTCTCATCATTTGCAATTGCCCTGATTCTACGGATACACATACAGATTAAAAATCTGATAACTTATGATGTGCATACCTCTGTCGTTGGTGATGGTGATTTTGTTCTCCTTGCCAGTGCTCTTCTCTAAAGCCGATACGTTGAGGATACCGTTGGCATCAATGTCAAATGACACATCGATCTGGGGGACTCCCCTTGGTGCTGGGGGGATTCCAGCAAGTTCAAACTTCCCAAGAATGTTCTGATAGTAAGGGGAAACAAATCAGAAAGAGTAACCATCTATGTTCCTTAACAAACAAGCTGCTGTTTAAAGTAAACTTTATAAACAGAATTGGTATTCTCTGTCCAATGAGATCTCTGAATATAATCACACAATGAAGATAGCTGTGTATTTGTACCTCAATTTTGAGGCTTATCGCAGTAATCATCATTTCAACATGTCTTGTAATAATTCTATAGCAGAGCTGCCAACCTTTGGAAGTACAAATTAGTACTCAGCACCTCCAAAATTAGTATTTTACCATCAAAATTAGTATTTTTCAACCGGCCTTCCTTTCACCTATTAAAAACCTATTTCTTTCAATAAAATTTAATGAGAAAATTGTAAAGCAAAGTTTTTGTTGGGGTTGCGGGGGTTTACTTGTACATGTTTCTATGCAATTCCGCTGTTTTTAAGATCGTATTTCACTCTTATTATCGTACTGGTTGGCACCTCTGCAATAATATATAAGGGCATCCAAGCCATTATTTTTTTTGATTTGTTACTTGAATAGGTGACACCCCATTGGTACGACACTACATAGAATCATAGGAATTAGGGCCACAGTTACCAAATTCTAAACCTCCAACAATGCATGGTACAGAAATAACAAGGTTAGCAGATGATCAATGGGGTTAACTGTTAAACCAAGCCTTTTTCTAAAATGTTTATTCCCTACAGACCCCACGCTGTCCTCACAAAGTCCACCAGGTTGGTGACTAAGTGCACAGTCCGTGTAAGGCAATGTGGCTATGACTTACGTTGTCCTTGGTCATGGTACGCTCTCCCTCAAAGATTTGAATGAGCACACCGGGTTGATTGTCAGCATAGGTTGTGAAGGTTTTGGCCTGTTTGGTTGGGATGGTAGAGTTCCTCTTGATAAGAGCGGTCATGACACCACCGGCTGTCTCGATACCCATGGACAGTGGGGCAACATCCAGAAGGAGCAGGTCCTGCACTGCTTCAGACTTGTCTCCAGACAGGATAGCAGCTTGGACAGCTGTAGTCAACAAGAAACAAGATATTCATGAACATGAAGAAAAAGCTAAGCTGTTCCAACAACAAAGAGACACTGTAACTGATATTTGAACTTTCACTTACTTAGCCCAAAATTTAACCAGATCATCTTCCAATGGCGACACCAACCAGCACTAAGCTTAAAGCTCATACATTGATAGGGGTATCTATTCATTGTATTGTGATATCAAGGAAGTGGGGCAGATAGACATACCTGTCCGGGTAGGCATGAAAACCAAAAATTGCTCTTTATATAAAATAACAAAAAAAAAGGTACCATTTGGTATTAACTCTTCATATATTTGAACAGATCACCTTACACACAAACATACCTGCACCGTAGGCGACAGCCTCATCAGGGTTGATGCTCTTGTTGAGTTCTTTCCCTTTGAAGAAGTCCTGCAGGAGCTTCTGGACCTTGGGGATCCTGGTGGAGCCACCAACCAAGACAAGGTCGTGGATGTCCTTCTTATCCATTTTGGAGTCCAGGATAGCCGTCTCAACAGGCTCGAGTGTTCCACGGAAGAGGTCACCACACAATTCTTCAAACCTGGCACGTGTGATGGACGTATAGTAGTCGACTCCTTCAAAGAGCGAGTCAATCTCGATGCTTCAAGGAAACGGGAGAGAACAAAACATTATTTTTTCAAACCGATACCAACAAACCATCTTAGAGGCGGACAACAAAAACTGCATCTCGCCATTTAAGACCCAAGATCCTTAGAAGAGTTCGGAATAATCCAAACACAAAAACAAGCCGACATTGCCACATACATATTACATACAGTACAGAAACAAGTATTAAATTTTAATTTGGTGACAGGTCTCAAACAATTGAGTTAATAAGCAACCTACTCAATACAAAATACATATGTAAGGTTATGAATAATGCTTTAAGAGGCAGCTTTGCATGTAGAAAGATGAAAGGACAATATTCTGTTAGCTAAAAACCTACTTAGCCTGTGTGCTTGATGAGAGTGTCCTCTTGGCCCTTTCGCAAGCTGTCCTCAGCCTCCTCACTGACCTCTTGTTGACGGCGAGATCTTTCTTGTGCTTTCTCTTGAACTCTTTCTTGAAGTGGTCGACCAAACGGTTGTCAAAGTCTTCTCCACCCAAGTGAGTGTTGCCATGGGTCGACTTGACTTCAAAGATGCCCTCATCTATCGTAAGCACAGACACATCAAAGGTTCCGCCTCCCAGGTCAAAGATCAGAACGTTGCGCTCCTCACCAACCTAGAAATCAATTCAAATGACGATGAAAATACACTTCATCAGATATTGCTCGATTTCATTCAATCTGTTCATGCTTGTACTCGAGCCCAGTATTAAATACAAACATATTTTGTTTTGTTGCAGACATTTTAATGCCAACAACTTTCTGCTTAATGCAAAAGTACTTGTCCTCTTGGACTCATCTTCACGACAATAGATTCCAACTATTAAGTACCAACCAAAGGAATTGCTTATATAAAAATGTAGCCATACATGTAAAGACCCTCCCACATTTGTCTAGGATTGAGTCTGATAACAGTTGACTACATGATGTTGGCAAACTGATCATAACCACCGAGAAGAGGTCTCTGACAATGGCAATTTTCGATTTGCCTCAAAAGAGAAAAGCAGGATGAGGAAAGGTTTTAAACTTTGCAATTATAAGCAATGTAGCAATGTAATGAACTGCTGGATCATACCTAATTTACCATGAACACCCATTTCAACAGATAAAATCTAAGTGCATATACACATACTATTGTATTCGAGGGAATGAGCAATGAATATAACCAGAAATAATCTCTTGATCTAAAGCTAGAACTTAGTAGTCCTGATACAAACCAGAACTGAATGTTGAAAACCTAACTAGAATTTGTAAAATGGACAGAGGTGTCGTATGTCACCGTACTATAAATCCAAGGTTTGCGGTTTGAGTCCCAATGTGGCACTACTAATGCCCTTTGGCACGACATTAATCTACATTTACCACTCTCCACCCAGGTGTTAAATGGGTACCCGGTAGGATGCCAATGTGAATGTAGTTGGATTGGCATGAGAGTTTGTAAAATGGCGCCAGGCCGAAATACTCCCAAGGGAGTGGAGCATGTGTACTTCTCAAGTTGAGTGCATTTGTGCTCTAACTCATTGAATATTTAAAATTACTCAAAACATAATGTTTCTTAATTTCACAATTACCTTCTTGTCAAGACCATAAGCAATAGCAGCTGCAGTAGGTTCATTGATGATACGCAAGATGTTTAGGCCAGAGATAACACCAGCATCCTTTGTTGCATGTCTCTGGGAATCATTGAAGTAGGCTGGTACAGTAACAACGGCATCTGTCACTTTCTGTTTATTAAAAAAAAGGGTTTAAAAATCATTATACCTGCCACATGTAAGTCAGGTATGAAAGCACTTAAAGGCAGGGGTGATAGTGAGCACTAAAAAAAAAAAGGTTTTTTGTTTTCCTCTCAACCACGCCCCCCTTGAGTTAAAAAAAAAAAAAGAGGATTCGCGGGGAAAAACGGCATCTAACAACATTCCCCCTTTCGAGAAAGAAAATTGGGAAAAAATAGGGCAAAATAGGGAAGAATAGAGAAAATAAGAGGGAAATCAGGAAAATCAGGATAACATAGGGAAGAAAAAAAATTGGGAAAAAATTGGGAAAAAATTGGGAAAAATAAAAAATCTGGAAACAGATTTTAATCGGGTTTTTATCAGGCCTGTAAAGATGAAGTTGAGTTCTGGTCATGCCATTGCATTGTGAAAGAAATGGTGTGGAATCGACCAAAAAAGGTTGATCATCTAGCATATAAGAATTTGTGTGTATTGCAAGGTTCTGGAATCATCAAAATGATAAGAAATTTGGCCAAGTCTTGGTAAAGTTACAAACACTGTACACAGAAAGATATATATGGGACTACATGAACACGTGGCATAAAAATCCTACCCTGGAGTTTTACGATGTTAAATGACATATTTAGAATATAAAGGCATTTGAAGAGCCATGCTTTTCAGGGGAACATATCTTATCTGATGTTCGTCCACACTTGCATAATAAGAATGATAACACTCACAAATTATTTTTCACCTCTTCCCAGAACTCTACCTTCTCTTTAACTGCCACTAAATGCATTAACAGGGTGCAGGGTGGATTCCATCCATAGAGATGCCATAGCAAGTGAATGTAAAAAGCTTGTAACCAAAGATAAGCCTAGGGAGAGAAACACCCATAAATAGAAAAAACAGGTCTATTCTGTCTAGTAGATCTTTATTTACCAGTCCCAAGTATGCCTCTGCAGTCTCTTTCATCTTCAGCAGCACCATGGAACTGATCTCCTCAGCATAGAAAGTCTTGGTTTCTCCCTTGAACTCTACTTCAAGCCTTGGTCTTTTAGTGCTGTTCTCTTCGATGACTTTGAAAGGCCAATGCTTCATGTCTGACTGAACAGTTTCGTCAGCAAATTGACGACCAATGAGACGTTTGGCATCTGTAAATGCAAGGAGAAGGTAACAATGTTAATCATCTACACCTACATGTAACATCAGGAATTGCTAAAAGATAGATAATATGAAGCCCAACTGGTCCTCAGACATTGTAGATGGGTGAACTGGTTCCCACATATACTTATTTATTTAATCCCATGAAACATGAGTAAACCTACAATTCTCTTTCGTATGTGCAATACTCGTTAAAAATTAAAAATAAATCAATACAATTTCTGATTTTGAGACTTTTAATACAATGCACAAAAGCCCAAATAAATTTGCTCAAAATGACATATTGAAATCAAATTTTTCATTTACTCTTTGATTAAGTCACATTTGAATGCAACTCCCTCAACAAAAATTACATGCCTATAGTCTATACTCTGTACGATATATAATTGTCAGTGCCCTTCTTTTGTTACTTCAGCGATGCACCTACCAAAGATAGTGTTGGTTGGATTCATGGCAGTCTGGTTCTTTGCTGCATCTCCAATCAGACGCTCGGTATCACTGAAGGCTACATAGCTCGGGGTTGTCCTGTTTCCTTGGTCGTTAGCAATGATTTCAACTTTCCCATGCTGAAATACTCCAACACACGAGTATGTTGTTCCGAGATCAATTCCTACTGCTGGTGCCTTGGCCATATTGCTTTGACTTCAGGAAGAAAAAAATGGACAAAATAAAACTATAAATTCTCAACAGGCTGATTTAGTGCTTTTAATACTAGGGTCTAGATCTAGACCCTATAATACTTTGATCTAGATCATTTTCGTAATACAATCAAATTTAATGCATAAATCTTTGTTCAGAACTTCAGTTCAGACAAGTGCCATGTTACAAAATATTTCATTCAATGATTCACCAGTTGGCAGTTACAATTCAATTGTCAGAATTCAAATTGCATACATAAATCGTTGCTGGGTTGTACAAACATTTAAAGGGACTTGGTAACATTGTTCAGATGATAGATAGATGTAGTGATGCTAAGGTAGTGACTTCGATGCTAGATGTACAATTAAAGATAATCTGAAAATTTGAGTGAAAACGAATTATTAATCATTCATGGTACAAATTGAGAAAAACTGATCTGATAGATTCCTTAATTCTCCCAACTATTTTATTAGAGGTCTACAATTTAATTACATTTTAGGTGAATGGAAATCGTCACAAAACAATAAAATGGCTCTTAAAGAGGAATCTACATTCCATTCCAGACATTTAAGCCATGTTGACAGATATTTTATAGTCTAGCCCGTTTATTTATTTTATGTCTTTTTTTCATGGAAAAACGGTTGGGAAAATTCAAAAATGGTTGGGAGGATTTACTGTTATAGAATCTAGTGTTAATCACTGTGTTAGAGGGTGTCATACATCGACTCCTTCAAACAAAGATCTAGATATCTTCGTGGTTTGAGAATTTTTTCAGAATTGTTTGCATGTCATTGTCAGCATGGTCAGCATGGTCAGAGGGTTTTTTTTTTATACAAAAATTAAGCAATTTTTTCATCATGCCTTCAACGATGTTACCAAGTGTCACCTAACAAAAGTAAGGCAACTAAGTTAGATCAAGATTAGATTGGACAAGCACTGGTCCTCTCAGCACCAAATGCTTCCATAAAATTTATTTGTGCGTCCACCCGCCATGCGAGCAAAAATAGTTAAGGTTCTTTTTCGAACGAAGCACCACTCAATGAAACGACCGGAAGTTTCAACAGGATCACCTCACACTTCCGTATACTGATGCTGATGCTGATGCTGATGCTGATGCTGAATGTCCCGACTCCTCTTCTTCTTCTTAAACTTTAAATATCAGATTAGGGTAGGCCTATGGATAATCTGCCTCATTTTTAATTTTGTTACCCATTCCAGACACATGACACGCACATAATGATCAACATCCACTGAACAAAATCTTGACTCTAGAAATAGGAATCTAGACTAGACCCTAGATCTAGAATAATCTAGACTTATAGATCAGTAAAAATTGCTACAACTTACCTTCAAACTTTGGCTTTGGTCTGACAAATAATGTTGCTGATGGAATTCGAAATGTTCTGAACCGGGCGGTGTCCTTTGTGTGCTGTCCTGTACGTGCTATGCAGCCGGCGTGTTCCAGTTCGAATGAATGAGGAATGATCAGTGAACGTCCACCCACGCGGCCACGATATACCGGTAATTACGTAACCAATTCCGATCACGCGATTCATACCTTTAAAGACAGTTGACTCTACCAGCATATATTTCAGCTCCCATAAAAACTCGCACCCATATCGCTTTGCAGGTCATACGAAAAGGCTAGCCATCAAACTAAGGGGGCTATAGATTAGATCTAGACCCAGTCTGTTCATTTTAATATATGAGTGACAATTGATCTACTGATTGAATATGAATAAAAGAACTTTAATCTACCAAATCTGGATCATCATACAGTAACAATTTGAAAATTAATACAATTCTTTGGCAATTTAACAGGACATGCTTATGCTGCCAAGGATAGAAAATTATTTTGTTCGGGTATGTTAAAAGGATAAATATGTTTTCAAAACTAAAAAATACGCAGACAGATTTTTTGTTAAAATGTTTTAAAATGTCTTGAGTAATAATGCACCCTGCGAGTGCGGTCCCTGCCCTAAACCACCAGTAAGGAATTCATTTATTCATTTTTAATCCCTCACCCTCGAGTAAGGCAAGTGGGAAAACGGCTTCGATCGATTCAACAAATGTGGCTTTAATTGACATTTTAGTCCATGCATGCATGCAGTAGCCGATATATACAAAACAATTAAAAAAAATGTTTAAGTTGATTTTTTCCCCCTTTTTTTTCATGTGCAATATGTTTTAAATGTACTCATGTCACACTGATTACTGATTACCACACTGCCAAAACAAAACAAACCTCTAATTTCAATACTTGTTATATATTTATGATTACACCATCTGAATGGAATTTGTATTGCATTTTATCACAGTTTTTCCTATTTTACAGTTTATTGAATTATATATCTGTACACATTTTATTTTATTTGTTTTTATTTAAACATTTATTCATTTTTGCTAGCAATATTTTATATCTAGATGCACGATAAACTTTGGAGGACCGGAAGTTAATTGAGCGAATCAAAGTAGGGCGAGGAGTAACTTGATACGTCATACGTCATCGGGTAAGGAATGTACTGTACCCACGGATACGCGATGAACGTGCTCCGAACACAAAGCTTTTGAAAAGGAACGTTCTCGAACAGAACTTCACGTGACTATTTTATAATCCGTGGCGGGAATCTCCCACACATTTGTATCAGCATGACATATCACAATTCATGCATGGCGTAGGTCCATTTCTCGCTCTCTCTCTTTCCCTCTCTCTCTCTTTCCCTCTCTCTCTCTCTTCTCTTCCTTTACAGGTGGGTAGCCATGGAGGGGGGGGGGGGGGGGGCGGTGAGGGGTGGTACGGCGCCCCCCCCCCCCCCCCCCCCAAAAAAAAAAAAAAAAAAAAAAAAAGAGAGAGAGAGAGAGAGAGAGATAAGAGGAAAAAAAGACGTTAAGAGGACGTAGCCTACGTAGGAACAAAACGGAGCAGACAAAGAAACATGACAATTAAGAAACAGCAGATTTTATTATCGTGAAATGAGCTTTGAATGCTATAGGCCATGTATATATCAGCCCAGTCCAGCACAGTTCACCTTGCGTCCACTGACCTCTACCAATGTAGAGGTCAGTGCTTTCGTCCCTTTCGTCCAGTCCGACATAACTTTATACTAAGCTCTGCGGATATTATGTGTGCAGCGGGTCGGGTGTGATACCAAAGTGATCTGTACGTGCCACCTTTTGTGATACACAGGGCAAGACTCGTCCCAGACTCCTGTCGATATTACTTCTGGCCAATCATATACCTGTATGATTGTTTAGTGATTGGTTGATTAAATGTCAATATATTTATCACATGCAATTGAAGATGCTCATTTCTGAAGATATCCTTTTAAAAAAGATTGAAATCTTTGTAGGCCTATAATACAACAATGAATCAAATAATATATTTTGTTAATTCAGACAAGGTTGAGAACGGAACAACGTCGGAATCGTCTTCTTTTTCTAATAATTTAATAAACGTCATATAGCTCCCGGAAGGGGGGACTCAAAGGGGAACTCCCCCCTTTCGCGCGAAGCGCGGAAGCACCCAGGGGTTCAGCCCCGCGGCAGGGGAAGGGGCCAAAGAGCTGGCCCAAATCGTGAGAAAATATTAAGCGGCGAAACAGCTAGCCTATAATCTAGGCGGAGTGCCGAGCTTTTTTCTTTGCTGCTAGACTAACCCTAAGCAGAACGTCTGATACGGCGAGACTACGAACCGTGAGTCGCGAACATCGAAATCCAAGTAAGTAGAAGGATTTTCCGAGACCGCTGAATTGCACCGCCGTGCGCCATCTTGGATAGAACGAGCGTTGTGAAAGCGAACTGCGACTACGTGCTATGTGTATGCTCAACTTTCGTCTGCAAAATGCCATATTGTGCAGCTTTCAACTGCACCAGTCGCCTTAAAAGAGGCTCTGGAATAACCTTTCATAGTTAAGTGATCACTTCATTAAAAACATGGCAAAAATAAAAAGTTTTGCATGATAATCCGAACGCAGAAAGCCACAGACTAAAGCGTGTATTTGTACATAGGTCCCATCTATTCATTTCCATGTTTGTGAACTGTTTTCGCTCGAGTTCAATGACATCGGCTATGAACTATCAAAAATATTGAATTCCACAGAGCTGCAAAGTATTATAAACCGATAATATCGAATACATGATATCCAGAGAATACTGTACTGTTTTGTGTGTTTTTTTTTTTTTTGGGGGGGGGGGGGAATCATTGGGGCATAAGCAGGTCACTTTCTTTCTTTGACTTGGTGAAACTTGGTTCAAGTTAATTTGAAGATTAACTTGAACTTATGAACATGTTGCATCGCGGCGCTGGTATTAATAGTGACACAATTTCCCCTGAATCGTCAGACTTTCAAGCATTATTGTAAGAAATTTACTGGAATTTACTCAAAATTTACACCTTAATTTTGGACATTTAAATTGTTGTAAAACACAAGAAATTTTACTCATCAAAGTTGGTCATTGTGAAAGTTACGACCTGTCAGTCATGGCAGTTAAAGAAGCTATCTGCATGAACCTTCCTACGTCCTCTAAAACTTACTCCTCAGATGAATATGTGTAGATTATGTAGTGATTTCATATGGCCTAGTAAAGCACAGCACTTGAAATACAAATCAAGACAAAAAAACACCAGGCAATATTTTGCGAAGCTCCCATTATTCTGGTACATGTATATCTTTAAAGACATAAATATACATTTTGAAATATTTGGGGATTTCTGCTGTAAAAGGGTAAAAAATTGGTCAATCTTATTTATGTGTATTTTTTTACATAATATTTCACCATTGATGAAATAAATATACTAATTCAAACAGACTATTTCATCTTCTCCTTCCCACTGAAATGACAGAATGTGCACTACAGGGATAATATTTATTACGATGTTTGCCCTATTGGTCTATTTTGTGTTTTATCACATCTAGGCTTACCCAGAGAGAAAGGAATTGTGTGATTCTATTATTGACACTAGCCTGTCTTCTGTCTGACAGGTTTAGGTATAGTTTGAATCTGATTGCATAAATTAGATTTGAGATTAGAATTTGCGAAAGAGGCATCAAAGAAATAAAAAAACAACTGGATTATTGTCAACGTGTTTCAGGGAAAGGGATTTTCTTTAAATTTTGTATTTTTAACTTGACTCTGATCACTTATGGTTCCCAAAGCTATTTACAAATTATTGTGCGTATGTTTCTTGATAATGGATAATGTATTCGGTGATGGCATAGTGCCACATACATGTGTGTACAAACAAATTGTTTCGTCAAATTAGATAAGGAAGTCACTCATTATGTTGTATGAAAATCTGTATACAGAGGTTTACGGTGTATGCAAACGATCCCTGTTTTGTTATAAAATATTGTCCAATGATTTTATTGTTCAATGTGCAGTGTCATCTATTCTACACTATTGAATTCAAACTGTAGTTGCAATGGTTGTATCCATGTTTACCAACTGAAAGAGCTTGAGCTAAATGAAAGTTGCAACTTTCATCTAGAGTAAAAATCTGTTTTAAAAGTTTTCACTGAAATAAGATGAATCCATACATTGCTTCATGAACAAACCAAAGAGAGGGAAATACTGATTCATATGTATTATATCTTGTTGATGTCTAGTTTTTTAATATGTTCAAGTTTTGAGTGCTAAAAGGGAGAAAATCTTGCCTTTTGTACATTGTAGTCAGTCAAATGCAAATGTACATGTGATTATTTCTCTGTGTGTTAAAATGAATAAGAAATCTGCCGGTATAAACATAATGTGCCATGATTGCTTGCTTGAGGAACGTTTTTTCCACACCATTGAGGATTTTTTTCTTCATATCCACCATTGCAATAGTTCATGGATGTTTTGATATGTACTGTATACATTCATGTAATACATAGCGCAATGCCAAGGTTAAAAAAAAAACTTAATAAAGATGAAAGTATTCACAATTATGTGGAAAGACATGTGAATAGTTGCCACAATGTGTCATTACTTAACACTTCTTAGACTAATCTTTAATATGCCTATATGGAATGAAAATAATATCTGGCAGCTATTAATGTTAGCCTCCCAAGGGAAAGAAAAGATATTAATATTCAGTGGGCCTACTTCTGCAGTGCCAAGAATCAAAGGGATAGAGAAAGAGAGAGGGGAGAGAGACAAAAAGAGAGAGGGGGAGAGTGAAAGAAAAAGGGGGAGAGAAAAAGAGAAGGGGATAGAGAGAAAGAGAGAAAGAAAGGGAGAGTGAAAGAAAAAGAGAGGGAGAGAGAGAAGGGGATAGAGAGAAAGAGAGAGGGAGTAGAGAAAGGGGTAGAGAGAAAGAAGGGGAGAGGGGGAGTGTGAAAGAAAAAGAGAGGGAGGGAGAGAAGGGGATAGAGAGAGGGGGAGTGGGAAGAGAAACACAAAGACTGAGAATTTACGAGTGTGTGTAAAGAGAAAGTGGGAGTGATTTATATAGATAGAGCCTAAATAATTTGATATATTCTTTCTATCACAGAAAGAGACAAAACTAGCCT